CGTTTTTTAGATATTTTAATTAGCTACTTATAGGTTATGGTTGTAAAAAAAAAAAAAAAACACTTAAAAAACCTCCTGTTTTTTATTTTGAATGGTAGCTGTTCTTTGACATTTCTGACATGTTATTTATGCTTATAGGTATTTTTATACACTTTATACAATTAAAATTTTATATTTAAAAGTCCCTATTACAGACTTACACAGACAGGGTGAGGGCGGACTTTTTCTTCCTGGGGTCTTGGTAAGTAAGTAAGTAAATGGTAGGTAAGTAAATGATGACTAATGTTACGTTCAGACCGCACCTGCTAGAGGCAGCAGAAGCAGCTAGTTTATATACTGGTTGACGCTCATCAAGGCACAGCAAAAGGTCCCGCAGCGCGTTTTGAGCTGCAGGAGCAGTGCATCATCAACTTCTGAGCATCTGACGTGCAAGACATGCTGCGAAAGCAGCAGCTGGTGGAGTTGGAAAAACTGAACTTGTGCTGCTCCACGTGCCACATCAACCAATCAGAGGAGCTGATCCAGGAGCTGGCAGGGAGATAGACACAGCACTGCTGATGCAGATCGCTATGATCACTCCTCTGAAACAGTTTATTTACGCCTAAATTAACTTGAAGCCCCTTCAAGCACCTTTTTTCCCAAAACTTGATTTGACCATATGCCCCTCCAAAAATCGGACCGAATTTCCACATCCACACCTAAGGAAATTTGTGGAAAGATCTGCACTGAAAAGATTGGCGAGTGAGCAACAGCTCCTGCTGGTGAGGGATTGCAAATGTAAACAGCTAGAGATATCCTGTGATTTGGCTCATACATATCATCACTATCAACAGACTATGGAAAAACTCCTAGAAAGAAATGACTGTCATTCTTGGACAACACAAAGAAGCTTTGAAAAATTTGTAAACAGCTGTGCTTTCTTCTACCTCTCATAGTGTGGTGTTGTCAGCTTGTTGCCACTGGCGTAGTCCAGGGTACACGCGGATGTACGCCGTATACCACTTATTTCTTTTCATCAGGATTTCGTATACCCACTTCTAAATCCCTTGTGATCCGCACCATTAAGCAGAATCTCTTAACCAAATTTCCCATTTTTTCCTATCGCCTGCACCTTTCACTGTGGCCTTTTATTGTGGGCAGTCTAAGGCACACCTGTGCACTAATCATGGTTTCTAATCAGCATCTTGATATGGCAAACCTGTAAAGTGGGATGGATGATCTTATAAAGGAGAAGTGCTTACGATCACAGATTTAGACTGGATTGTGAACAATATTTCAAGGGAAATGTTTATATTGTGTATTTGGAAAAAAAACTTCAGATCTTTGAGTTCAACTCATAACAATTGGGAGCAAAACCAAAAGTGTTTCATTTAAATTTTTAACATATTTTTATTGTGTCCTTTCATTTCTAATTTTCCTATAAATGCTAAAATCCCTATAAATGCTTTAATGCCCATATGATTACTATAATAAAATGCTTTGCAAAATATAAAAAAAAGAGCTACAGAACAAAGTAAAATTTCAAACTGAGCCCACTGGGGAGTTGTTCTGTTTTTAGAAGATGCTGAGGGCACATGTGTGGTCCTTGAGGTCCCCTTGGTGCACCCGGCACCCCGTTGATGACCCTTTTTCCAGAGGTGTGATGAGGCCTCCCCGGACTCAAAGCTGTTGCGTAGAATGACTCATCTTGCATCTACAGTATTATATACACCTCAAAGATTATCCCATAAAGTAAACAACAAAAAGTATTTGAAAACAAGAAATTGAAATTTCATTTTTTTTCATCCAATATAAAACACAAATATATTTAAAATGTCATTTTTTGAAATTTTTTATGAAATACTTAGGTATTGAGGTTAGCCAAATAAAGATCTCCCCACTGACAAATATTTATTTCTCTATTAAAATAAAACTAATAGTAATAAAACACAGTTAGCTCGTGTTATTTCTGCTAATTTAAATAATGACCTGTCATGATAATGGCTGTGAGAGCTGGTCTAATTGCTAATTTCTTTCACCTGCCTAACTTTGCCCGGTTTCCAATTACCACTCATCTAATCCCAGCTATCGGGTCCAGATCATTGATTTTGAGTTGGAGATGATTGCTGATTACATAGCTCAGTTCTTGTTCTCAGGGGCCAGTGGTGAGTGAGCATTTTTAAAGGGGTCATAGAATGATTATAAAGGGAATTTGGTGCTGGTCCTTAAGGTCTCTGAATAGGGTGTGTAACATTGGTTGGGTTGAAAATGGCATATTTGATGTTCTATGAGCCCTAATTCAAGCCTAATTAAATGAATGAACCGACAGGTTTTCTTCCCTTTTATGGTATGCTCAATAAATATTTAGATAAGCTGTGCACTGATTGGTTGGTTTACAACGAGCGACGCTGCTGAGCAAAGACTCATCATAGCAACAAGCACTCACTCATTGAAACATAAAAATTTTTTATATGGTAGGTTGACCAGATGTCCTCTTTTTCCCAGACATGTCCTACTTTTCACACCTAAAAATGTCTGGGGGCGATTTCAAAATCGTCCGGGATTTTGGTCGACTACAATGCAGCAGGTAGTCAAAAACACACTCGAACCGAGCCGTCAGCTCTGGGGCTGGTCTGGGAACCCCGGCGGACAGGCGCAGATTTGGAAAATGTTTTTACAATTTTTTTTTAAAGGATAGAAATAATTTGACAAAGTATTATTTAAAAGAACATGCAAATAAAAAAATTAAAAAAAAATATTCACATTGTGTTATTCTTTCTGGAAAACCCCATCCAATTTCTTTTTTAGAAATTTACTTATTTTTAGAAAACCTGAAAAACAGCCAAGGCTATATATATTTTTGAAATTTGCCACTGGTTTAAATTGATCATAATTGAGACGATTATTCCATTTTTGCTAGGAATAAAAATAAAACAATAATTAAAAGGGGTGATGGATGTTTTTTAACATCTAAATTATCTTTATTTAGCTAAAAAGAAAAAGTGCATTAACGTTGTTTTTTAATACAAATAAATGTATGTTTTTCTGAATGTCCTTTATTTTATTTTGAACTGTTTTACTGGTCTTTACATATTTCGCTAGAAATCTGACCTTGAAATATACTGTAGCATTGTACTGATAAAACTTTTAGGAATTTGAATTGAAAAAGTCAAACTTTTAGAACATTTTCTCTTCAAAAAGAAACTGTAGCTCAAATTTAAATTAACTGCTTCAATTCGCAACAAGTAATTGAATTTACAACTTAATATATTCATTCTTTTTATTTCATCACAATAATCGCCCAAAGAATTATCATTAACTATCAGGGGTACATTATTAGAAATTCTGATCTTAAAGAAGTACTTTTAAAAATTGGTATTCTAAAAAATATTGGACCCATCAATTTTAGGAGATTGACCTAATTTAACAAACTATAAAGACTGGTTAAAAAAAGCAAAACAATAACTAAGAGGCAGGTACTGTATATGTAGTACTTTAGCAACTTCTTGAAATTAGCATCAGGACTCGGTAATGATGTGAGAAGCAGAAAATTCCTAAAACAAACTGTGGAGGGGATCTAGACCCGACAGCCTGAGGCTTAAGATATATTAAATTACCATGATTGGGACTTAAGGCATGGTTAAAGCCTGTTTGAGAGGCTGGGGAGCCTCAAAGCACTACTATTCATGTCTGGGGAGCTGGGTCAATAGGTTGAGGAAGTTCACAGGACCTGATTCTATTCTCATGCAAACACAGAGAACAAGACATAAAGCTCACTCAGTTGGAAGATATAAATGGTCGGACAATCCTCTGCAGCCGTCCACAGACACAAACCAGCACTGCAGCAGCCTGCTCATCATTCATGAGTCACTTCTCTGTAACAGCTTACTTCCTTCTTTCAGAGTGATTTATCATGTGCACATTTTTTTTTAATTTTCATGATAAGTTTAATTCTGTTTTTATAAGAAAAAGTAATGAGAAAATAATTTCAAATAATGTAAAAAGCACTACACCAATCCTAATTAAGCAAGAAAGGTGCCTTCCTACATTTGCTTCTGAATTATGGACACATCTACTTCTTAACTCATTATTTAATACAACTTTAAAACCTTGCTTTTAGTGCCTGACTTTGTTGTCTCACTGTTCATACTTGCTTTTATACACAGATTGCACGATAACTCTGCATAGGAACAGGCACATAAAGCAGAGTATAAAAGGGGTAGACATGAAATACACGTGTCTGTCGGCTTGTCTCAGGTCAACTAGTGTCCCAGCAGACTAAAAGGTCAAGACCTTCTGACCAGCGGTGGGATAATAACACTGTTAGGACCTGAAGCAGTGAACTGTTAAAGACCAATACCAGGGCTCTGTGTGATTTCCTTTCCTCTTATTTTTTTTCTACATCAGTATTGGTGTGATGAAAGAGTTGTATAAGCTCTAAACTAACCTTTTTCAACTCTTTTTACATTAAATTGTTATATTTGAATTAACCCCTGTGATCTAACAAATACCATCTCACATTCATTGTGTTTCTTTCCAAATAATAAACCATCATTTTTTATTTGTGAGGTTTACGATTTTCAGTCAAATCTATGATCCTTCTCTGCCTGTCTCTGTCCAAGGTGCTGACTCAAACCTGCCTAAAGATGCCTTTAAACCCAGCAATAATCACAGCTCTGTTCCCACAGTTCATCTGTTTTATTGAACATAAGATTATTTAAATGGCTTACATAATACAAAAAAAACATCACCTTTCAGAATTTGGTTTGAAAACCAGACTTTTTTTTTTTACTTCATTTTAAAACAAAAAAGCATGAAAGAAACATGTTTGGCTTGAATTTTGTCTTTTATTTTGACACCTTACATGTTTTAATTAAATGTGTGTAATTCATTTTGTTTATTTTAAACAAGGAGAATTTGTGGATATAATATATATATATATATATATATATATATATATATATATATATATATATATATATATATATATATATATATATATATATATACATATGTTTTAAAAAAAATAAAGAAATACACTTTACTAACTTTACAAGAAAGCTGTCTTTCTCTTTCCTATTGTTAATTTTGCATCAGGGTTCAATCTGGATTCAGCTCGATGTGTCCTTCATCTTCAGACAAGTTGTCACTGGCCTTCTAGACCCAACGTCCAATTTCAACATGATGGCCAAATCTTCACTGGTCCTTTCATTCAGATGCCTTGACTGAGTCTCATCATTGCTTCATCTACAAAAAAAAAGAGAAATTGCTTGTTAAAAACCTGTAAATTAATTTGATAATCCTCTCTTGCACACATAAAGAAGTCAGTTACGTGAAGCACATGAAAGTTAAATAGTTTATAGGTAACTCTCACCAGTTTATATGAGCACTGTGTGTTTAACGCCATCCTCACCCTGCAGCCATGCTGCTGACAGATTCACAAAATTATAACTAAAGAGACTCCAGGACATTATAATCCGATTTGGGGGGGCTCTTTCTTAGCCAATTTTCACTCTTTCTCTTATATTCAGACCTTCCCTTTTTTCTTCAGATTCACAATACAGGATTCTGCTGTCCCCTTTTTTTTCCATGTTCTCTCCTATCTTTCCTTAGAGCCCCCCCCCCCCCCCCCCCCCCACCCGTCAGACAGCATGCAGTTTATGCAAATGCTCAACCTTTCAAGCTCAAACTTGAATGAGACCTCAACTAATCTCTCTTGCTCCCACAACCCCCCCCCCCCCCCCCCCAGCAACACACACACACATAGAGAGAGTTTGTAAATGGACTTAGATAACAGCTTTGTTCAAAGATGTTTTTTGTTTCGAATTAGAAATATTAATAACAGAGTGCAGATGATTTAGGATGCAAAAACAAAGAGGTTTTCATTGCGGACAAGTTTTGTGGCTGAAGGTAAAGTGTGACATTATTTTGGGGGCAAGATTTTAGGGACATATAGTTGATTTAAGAGCCTGTGTGTGTGTGTGTGTGTGTGTGTGTGTGTTTGTGTGTGTGGGGGTGTGTGTGTGTGTGTGTGTGAAACAGAGAGATAGAGAGAGAAAGAGAGAAGGAGAAAGAGGGAATGATGAATGTGAGATGTTTAGTTGTTCCCAGGGGTCTCTGGGTGCTGTTTAAAAAGCCTGAGGGTGGCTTCCCCTAAGAAGAGGTGGCAGGGAGGTGGGGGACTGTGCCCAGCTGTTGGGTTGGGATGGGATTGAGGGGTGGGGGGGTCTGGTCCTGAGTTTTCTCTCGGTCTCTCTGACAGGCTGTTCTTTTCACCAGCACATAGCCGGACCGTCCATCCCGCTGCCATAACAACACCACAGCCTCTGTGTCATGGTAACGACAGGGAGTCATCACACAGCGCAGAAGGAGGGGAGTGTACGGGCTGCATCAGAGTCTGAAGAGTCCAGACATTTCTGTCCTTCTGAACTTGAACTTGACTGTCATAATGAACGACTGGCGGGTTGAAATGGAAATTTGCTCCTGGGAAAATGTCTCTTGGAATGAAACATGTTAAATGTTATGAATGCTAATCATACTTATACATTTATATATATATATATATATATATATATATATATATATATATATATATATATATATATATATATATATATATATATATATATATATATATCAGGAATTAACAACGGCTTTAGATTGGGTATTTTAATTTGACAAATTTTCTGATATATATAACTGGAGGGGACAATGTTAAATTACAATCAAATATTAATTGTAAATATTAATGATTTTTGCTGTGATGCGATTGCTCAAAATTTATTTATCTCTCTCTGGCCTTTTAGTTATAAAAACACAGATGAAATATTTAGAATAAACCAATTTTTATTTCTGATTTTAGATTTTTTTTTCCCCATTTAATGATGTTGAAATCCGCTTAATTTTTATGCAATCGAATAAATATATATGTCATGCAATGTATATCTAGAAATTTGCACAGCAATAATAATATCAATATATAAAGCAAAATTAAGGTAAATTCTCCACTCCATCTTTTTTATATTTTTAATATCCATATATTGGACAGGACCCTTATTTTTTTTTTTTAAACAACGGCTTTTCTAATATAAATGCTAGAAGTATTTAAGAGATCACTAACCTTTGAAAAATAGAAAATATGTCCCACACTTAAAATTCATGCATGGACCATGAGAACAATCTGATCAGGAGGATCACTGGAGAAAATGCTTTAAGAAGCTGCAGTTTATCATCTGTATGCCTCTACAGATGCAGTGTTTTCAGCTCATTTGCTCTTGTTCAAAGCTCCTGAGGGAGCAACCGGTCCACACGAGGGGTCTTAGCTGCTCAGATTTACTCAACCATGGGAAAACTGGTGGTCTGAAAAGGTCTCCTGTCGCTGCTACAAAGCCAAGAACAAGCCATAGCAGGATAATCATGTTTATCCCCAGATTAAGATGGGATCACAGCTGCCATATCTTTTGGCAAAAGAGCGTACGCAAAGTGCTGCTTCTAGAAAAGCTCACTGTCATTTTTACACCATTGGGTTTTCTGTACTGAGTTACAGGACTGGTGGATTTATTTGGACCACAAGCGTTCAGCTGAAACCCTCACCTTAAAAATTGTTTGGATACTTGGTCTGACCCATGCATTATTTTTAAAAATAATTCTTAATTAAGATGCTAATAAAAGCTGGGATGATAATATCATAAAATGTAAACGGAGTAGTAGGCCTAATGTATTTTTGCTCATCAATTGTGTCACAGGTAAAAACTTTTGTAAAAAAAAATATATATATATATATACCAACACAGTAGAGGATGTATTTTCTTTATCATACTTATTATTCTAAGAATTGTTGTTTATGTAAGAATAATACTAAGTTGGATTTAAAAAATAGTACAAACATTTAGGACACTGAGCACATTCTGATTGAATGCGTCTGATATAGAATACCACATTTCTTTACATTTGTATAAACAGTGAAAGAGTGGATGGCAGGAGCACAAAGGAACAACTGAACAGCAAGCTGCTCTGATTGCTGTTGTTCTAATGCAAGCATCTGGCACTGTCTGGTGTGGACTGTAGTTCCCACCTCTGTGCCCAGCGTTTGCTGCACCAGCCTGTCCCTCACACACCCCCTCAAATACACTGTTGGGAACAAGTAGTGGCAGACCTTTGTCAAGTGCTCCTTTCACAAAAGCTCCCATTGTGGCAAGAAGCCAGGATCAGAATTATAATGTGGGACAGTGTGTTTACCAACAGGTCTCCTGCAGCTGCAGCGGAAAAATCACAGACTGAAAGCTGCAGGTGCATTGAAGGCGAGGGCACTTTGTGCTCCAAATAAATAAATAAAAAAGTTTAAGGATTTTATTATTTTAAGATTTTCTATGAACAATTATAGATATGAAGTTAGAAAAAAATGAGCTCTTCACATTAATTAGCTCCTTACTGAAAAGCATTATTGCTTTTATGGAATTACCAGCTTTGCTTTTAGCCCTTCCCAGAGCTGCCTTTCTAATTACAACCAGCCTCCTCATAAAGGAGTAGTCCCCCTATTGTTTTCCAAGCACATGCAATGAGCTGCATTTGCATCTCGATTAAAAAACGTGAAATCATTGCTATGAAAAAGCAGCGTTTACCTCCACAGCTGAATTAAAAACAAACACCGCAGGTAATTTGAGTTGAATTTTTAAGCTTTGACGCTGGTGATGTTGCAGAACCGCTGCGCCTTTAAAACAGGCCTGCTGCCAGTTTCTATGCAATTATGTTAATAAGCCAAGCTTCTCTGCCTCCTCCTCATTATCTGCTGGAGCAGCGTGATTGTTTCCTTTATTTTGCCCCGTTGTGAAGATTTCCCTTTTATTTTGTTCATGTTGGGACCTGCAGGAGGAAGCTGACATATTTGCGTCAGATAAACGGGCTGAAAGAGGCGCAGCCCGCCGACATGCGGTCCGGGTCTCAGCAGAATGCTTCACTTTCCAAAGCAGAATAATGAGGAGCTTTTCTCTGCTTTGACAATCTGACAGAACTAAAGCTCACCTCACGTTTCTTGGCCTCATATTAGAAATCGCTTTCATCGTACTTAAAATATATAATTATTTCAATTTAAAAGACAAAATATATATAAATAAATAAATAAAATTCGAACAAAAAATATGAAACCTTTACAAATGTTTAAATTTGTAAATGCAAAAGGAAAAATGTATTTTTTTTTATCTGTCAAATTCTACATTTCTAAATAATTTAAAAAAGATGTTTCAGCAGTGCAATTCTGAAAAAAGATTTTGTAAAATACTAATTGTATAATTTGATGGTATTTTGTTCCATTTAAAGCAATAAAATTAAAAAAATAATAATTATCTTACAAACACCTAGAAACAGTAAACCCATAAGGAAGGTGTGGAAACTAATGATGTTGGGCTTTGGCCTCCATCTGTGCCACTTTTCAGATGGATATTCCACCCTTTTCTTTTTAACATTTAAAAATATTTTTTACTTGCTTCTAAAGGGAGCCAATGGCCTCTCTAAGCAATGCAATTTAAAATAGGCAACATTTAAACAACCGCTCATTTAAAAAATTTTTTAGTAAATAACTATCTAAGTGTCATTCATCATTTATATCCAAATATTTAAAAAACTGCCTGCTTTTCACAACGAATGGACAATATAAAATGTTTTTCTCTTCTGAATTGAAAAACAACCAACTCTTTCTTTCTTTCTTTCTTTCTTTCTTTCTTTCTTTCTTTCTTTCTTTCTTTCTTTCTTTCTTTCTTTCTTTCTTTCTTTCTTTCTTTCTTTCTTTCTTTCTTTCTTTCTTTCTTTCTTTCTTTATTTATATATTTATATATATATATATATATATATATATATATATATATATATATATATATATATGTTTTATGAATACATGTAATATATATATATATATATATATATATATATATATATATATATATATATATATATATATATATATATATATATATATATATATATATGTATTCATAAAACATTTTCGCACTTTATCACATTGCAGCACAAACTTAAACATACCTTAATGCATATGCATAATTAGGTTATAACTCCTTTAAAGAAATATTACAACAAAGAACATGGAGATTTGAAAATATTGACCACAAATTTATTATGAATTAACACAGAAGATCTGTAAACATTTTGAGTAAAGTAACAGGGTTTTTGGGGATGAATCACACGATGAAAATGTCACATCAAAATAAAATAAATAGATAATTAAACTTTATTTATCTCAAATTGGAGGAATTTATATCTGCATTTACCCCATCCCCTTCAGGAGCAATGGGCTGCCATTGTGCAGCATCCTTGGAGCAATCGGGGGTTAAGGGTCTTGCTCAGGAACCCAGAGTGGAGGCTGTTGGGATCGAAGCGGGTTCTTGCAACCTGCTATACCCCACTAGGCCAACACTCCCGCAGCTTGGTCAGTTTTTGTAGCAGTTGACTCACAGAATGGCCTATCAGAGGCCTCAGAAATGTGACTAGAATAATTAGTAGAGAGCTGAAGTCTTCACTGAGGAGGGCATTACTGCAGGATAAAGCATGCATTAGGGTTTAATGGCAATATAATTGGAAACATTATTTTTTGGCATCTACAGTACTAGCATTTTTCCTTAAAAGGTGGTAAAGTATTATTTAGACATGTAGAGCCTGGGAGTTTCATCGCAGTGCTGGAGGCTGACCTGTAAAAAACTTAAAAACTTTTTCTCAGGAAGGAATCTACAGCATTCTGTGCTGTTTTTGTTTACATTTAGGATAGGTTTCTGGAAGATTTTTCAAGGATTATTTCTTAATAAGTTTTAAATAAGATATTTTAGGCAATTTGCTGAGGGGAGTTCATTTAAGATGTTAATATAATTAATGTTTTCAGTTACATTCGGAACTGGGAGAAATGGGATCTTGGCTGTTAGAAAGGAAATATATCTTAAATTTTAGAAACTATTAAATTTGCTAATCTGGGCACAAATAGAGTAAAATATGGAAAAAAAATAAGTAATAATAATTATGATGTTATTATTGATAACAATAATAAAATGAAGAAGAGGGAGAACAACAAAGACAGAAATGGGTTAAGGTATGCTCAAAACAAATATACACATAAAATATGTATATACATTGGTTGTATATACATACATATGTATATGTATATACATATGTATGTATATACATATGATGCAAACTATGAAAAAAAAAGACCATTAGAATATGGCAAACTATCAAACAACCAAAACAGCAACTACCATTTTCACATCACAGTCTGCAAGATCCTCTAAGTATTTTTGAAGAACAAAACAAAATATTTAGCAAACACGATTTATTTATTAGTATAAATAAATACAACCTACCTATAAAACCACATAATGTCTTGCTTCTTTTCCTTTAAGCATTCCTCTTGGCTGTGGAGAAGGCCAGAAGACTTGGAGGTCATTCCTACTTTCGGTTATCTAGCTTTATGATGGAGAGTCAACACTCATACAGCTAGATAACCAAAGACAGGAACAGGCTCCTCATTTGTAAGAGCAGAAAACTGGGAATTACCAGGCTTCCTGGGAACATTACAGAATAATTGACATTATTGTATGTTTAATCAAACAAAAAGGAACATTTTTTTTGTTAATAAAATGAAATAAATTTATTTTAAAAAAATTTTCTTTTAAAATAATATATTCCTAAAAAAAGTCTACAATTGTGGCTGGTATTATTTTTTTATATCACCCATAGACAGTTTAATTTTATCACTTGAATTAATTCATTTTCTTCAAGCAACTCTTAACAATAATTTAAAATAGGTCATTTCTAATGACTGCTTCTCTTTTTTTCCCCCACAATATTGTTGTTTTTAACCTTAATGGCACTTCATTAATTTCCAGGCCGCACTGCTTTGTAACTTTAAGAACATTTTACATTTAAAAATGTTCTTAAAGTTTACAAAGGTAAACTTACCTTACCTTTGAGATTACAAAGGTAAACTGAAGTTAACCTCATAATGATCTTACACTATTTTAGGTCAGAGCGTCTGACGTCAGTTGTTTTAATTGGGGAATTGCTGCATAACTGTGAGTAAAAACAGTATAAAAAAAAAATATATATATATATATATATATATATATATATATATATATATATATATATATATATATATATATATATATATATATATATATATATATATATATATATATAATATAAAAAAATAACAAGGGCCTGCAGTTTTTTTATTAGATCGTCCACCGCTGTTTTTGTGAGACAGAACAATATAGAACGAAAAATCAAAATAGAGAATCCACATATTTACAGTAACCCGGGGGGCGAATGCTATGTAAAATAGAATCCAAATGTCTTTATCTAAGAATGAAATGCATAATTCTCACATGCTGCACCAGTAGAAATGCTCGTAAAATAACACCAATATTCCAAAGGGCTCACTTTTCCCGGCGTGCAGACGCGCTCTTTGGGTCCAGGACATTATTAACATCCACATTGCGCTTCCTCAGCCTCCTGTTTCAGTCTCACCTGCTTCGACAAACAGGTGAGAGCCGCTGATGGTCATTTGGATAAATCTCTCTCTCATCATATATAAAGGTGGAGCTGTGAATGATCCATCTTCCTCTCCTTTTATCCACATCAGAAGGCTCTGATAAAGGCGCAGGATGCTCCTTTTCATCCAAGCCGTGTCCAAACGCTCTCTATGGTCTCTGGTCCTGAGGCTGAGATGTTTCCCCCCTATCAGACTCACAGTGGTCCCCTCTAACCTCCCTACTGTGTGTTTTCTCCTCCACACTTCCTCCTCCCTTTGCTGACGCCACAGACACCATAGTTTAAAGTGAACCAATGAGAATGGGGCGCTGCTGAGAGTCGACGCATGTTTTTTGGAGCTGCGTTGGCGGGGAACATATGAGATAAATATAAAACAATAAATGTTTAAATGCAAGGGAACGAGTAATATAGTAACCCATAAACAGATAATCTAACAATCTGCAGGAATCATTGCCTCGTCTTATTTTGACAAAGGTCAAATATTATCTTAAAATTAAAGATTGAACTTGCATTTATCTTATTACTGAAATACATACCAGGCACTAGCATGGAGCTGGACTCTAAAAATATTATACTATGTGTTACCATAAGCACAGTGATTATAATGCAACCAAAGAAGGTGATGAAAGTGGATGAATATGTCGCCACTTAGCGGTACAATATATATATATATATATATGTGTATACACACTCATAGTTTTGATGCCTTCAGCGTGAATGTTCAATTTCCATAGTCATGAAAATAAAAAAACTCTGAATGAGGTGTACTTTTAGTCTGTGCTGTAAATAAGTGTGTGTGTATGTATATACATATATATATATATATATACACACATATATATATATATATAGTCCCTTTCATAGACTTAAGTACTTTATTTCAGTACGTTAAACAGTCAATGTAAATGTGTTCCTTTTTACATCAATAAGTCTACTTTAAAGATGCTCGTTCTTCCTCCTGTTTCAACTTTTTTTTTTTAAGCTTATCCCTCTGATAAATGTCTTTATGGCGACAAAATGACAACTTTATTCTGGAATACAGGATACAAATACTTCAAAGCGATATCAATGAAATTCACCAACCAGTTTACTTCACCAGGACAACATGTACTAAAAAATACTTACCAATCAATTTTAAATTAAAATTGCAGATTTAAAATACAATATCTGTTTTTTCTTTAGCATACCTGATCTACCTATTAACGAATTGCACTTGAAGCTAGTTAGATTTAATGGAACAGAAAACCTACTGGACTTTATGTGTTGTTCTTGTGTACCTCCTATAAATAGCTTAAAAGCAAATGTAGAAAACAGGTTAATAATCAAGTGTCTGTTGTTAAATTGGAGAGAATAATCCCAGCCTGTGTACAAAAGAAATGTAAAACAGATGGCATAGCTGATCACAGATGTTATGAGCTATTATACTGCCCTCCAGTGTTAACTCTGCAGACTAGTCTAACCTTGTCCCCCTGAAATAGTCTATGTACAGCACGTTTTTATTTTATATCTTATTTCACAACACATAGCAAAATAACTAAATAATTATCAGTTAAAATATAAGTCAAAATAACAAATGTGAATGCCGAAGAGTTTCAGAGGAGAAGCTTTAAAAAATGTTTCTTTGTGATTCATTTTTTAAGGTATTAAGATCTCGAGATTAAGTTAATAACATATGCAATTAACATTAGGAGTCAAAAAGCCTCTTAACAGAGGTGTGCAGACTGAAATAACAATTATATATCTTTACATTATACAATCTAAAATATAAATATTCTCTAAAGATCCAAAGAGCCCAAAACGTGTTTGTAAAACCTTTTATAAAAAACATACTACAATGTTTACAAAAAAGTCAGAAAATTATAAACAAGGTGATTTAAAAACACTAAGAATTAGGGAGAGAAAACAACTATTTTTAGAAAAAGTGCTTTGCAGAAATTTCAGTGATATTTCCTTTAGAAATGTAATACAAAACTGGTAAAAAAACAAAAAAAACAAAACAAACCGGCAAATTTTGTTTGCCATGAACGAACAGCATCATTCGTTCACCACAAAACAAAAGTTCAGCATGAAAACATTTGGTCTCAAACAGGGTTCTTCCGTACATCAATTAACACACTGTTTGATGGCTGCTGTGCAAAGTTGAGGCTGGAGCGACGGGACTCTCTGCGGGATTTAACAACTGGCAGGGAGGTCTGCACACACCAGGACCCCGTTCCCATCTGAACTACTCGGTTTCCTGGAGGGTCCCCGGCTGCTTGAACCCACAGTTCTTCCATTACGGCGGGTTCCTCCGATGGAAGAGAGGAACGTCTCCACGTAGACGGAAGAGGAGTGTTCACCAGTTCTCTCATTTCCTCTCTGGACCTGCTGGGTTTATCGAGGTGTCCTGTCCCTCTGCCTCCAACACTCTCCTCAGGGCCTCGACTGCCCTGGTGTGCAGGTTTGCCATTAGACGCTAATACTGAAGAAACAACATGTGGATGAGATGCTAAAAGATGCAGAAAAACATCATATCTAACAATGGATAAATGTAAAAGCTTTAAAACGTATTGCAGAGCACATTCTTTACCTGCTTAGAGTTGGTTCATTAACTTTTAAATAAGTTGCTGTGATTAACTTAGTAAACATTATAAATGTACCCAGATCACAGATTTCTGTAGTTGCATTCAAACACTAAACTAAGAGCTGACCCATCATTAAAGCGATTTAAAAAAAATGGGTTTGAAAAATACATGGGTAAAGCTATGCATTTTGAAAAAGTAAATAATCAAATAAATGAATAAAAAAAAAATACATACATCTTGATGATTTAATCAAATTGTACTTTTAACAGTAAAGGCCGGCTTTTCCAAAGAAAAAACAATGACTACAATTCCTTTACCCACATACTTGTTTCTGTGTTTGAATGTCTCCTTGTGGAAGTAGGAATCTACTTTTCTGTCATATATCTTAGATAAATGCAAAACACTTACACTTTATCTGACTTTGCCAAAATATATAGAAACAAAATCTCTTGAGAAAACATTACTTTCAGTTAAAGGATATATTTTCTAACAAGCTTTAGGCCAGGATCGCTCTAAAGGAAAATTAGTAGAGTTGGTGTAAATCCTGGCTGCATGGAGTTTGCATGGTCTCTCTGATCACATGTACATTCTGGCTTATCCTGCTTTCTTCCACAGTATAATAACATGACATTACAGTTAACTTGTTGCTTTCAAATTGTCCTTTTACTCTGCGATGGATGGGCAACCTGTCTCCAGTAGCATTTTCCCCAGACTATTGGAGACAGGCAGCAGCCCCCCATAGGACCCTGACAAACAAGCAGAGTGGATGGAATTTCAAGTACAGCTATGGTTGATGGAACAGAAAAGAGAGAAGAAAATCTATAAAGTAATAGAAGCCCCTGCAAAAGCTTAAGGAAATCTATCCATTAAAATCTGAAGAAACACTTAAACGGTTCTTAAGTATTTAGTTTCTGTAATTATTTCTCTGGTAAGCTAAGTAGGTTTAATAACGACAAAGCTCAAAACTCTGACAATCAGGAATATTTAAACTTTTTTATTCTTAGTTTATCTGTTTTCTTTTAATGTATATCGGACCTTGAGTCTGTAATAATAAATCAATCAGTACTGTGTGGGTGTGTGTTTTAACAGATTGATAATCCCAATGAATAATTGAGAGCTGATGAAAAGGGAACTAGACTTTACCTTTGGGATGCTCCTTAGGCTGGCTGACTGAACCACAGATCTCTCTCAGTTTGTTGCTAAGCTCCAGATTTGTTGTCCTGCAGTGGTTGAGTTCCTTGACCAGATTATGGATGTGTCCCTCGTACTGCCGCTGCCGTCCTGCCAAACCCTCATCCAATTGTTCTGAATGGCCAGAGGACAAACAATCAGGTTTACAATAATCATCTATAGCTGAATAGCTGGTAAACAAAAGCTCCAGCAACAACAAAAAAAAAAAAATTATATGCATAATCCAAAGAACTCTACCGGTAATTAAGAGAGCTTTTAATGGTTTTCCTCTTTAAATTTTCCTATTTGTGAACTTTTTTTTTCTACTCTTACAACATCACAACAATTACCGTCTGTCTAAGGTAATCTGAGTAATTACAGATGAGTTTTCCAGACTAGATTACATTTAATTAGAGAAAAGGTCTAAAATGTGTTTTAGTATGAAAAAGTAATTCATCAAAACACTAACTGGTAGTGCCATTCTTAGTGGTAAAACCCCCATCAGGTGTTTGCAATAGCTACCAAAGATTCCTTTATGCCTCTGTGGACGACCTTGCTGGGATGATTCTGCCTTTTGTGGACTTTTTGGTTCTGTCTGCTTCTTTTTTGAGTTTTCAGAGACACTTTGATCTATGTCATTCTGTGTTTTCTTGGTAATTGGTTTCTTTTCCATTTTGTGTCATTCTAGTTGTTAGTTATATTTAAAGCTACAGTGTGTAATAATTACAGGGATATACGGTCAGAAATGTAATATATTATACATAACTATGTTATTTATCATCATCTACGAGCTCAGCCTTTTAACCTTAATATTTGCGTTGCCTTAGAATTCGTTATTTATAATTACATAGGAGCGGGTCTCGCAGCCATGGAGGCAGACATCTTTGCGCTACGGCAGCGCAGAGCCAACAAACTAGCGATTGCGAGATCGCCCATTACGCTCGAAAGTAACTACGGCAAGTTGTTTAAGTCTACATGAAATCTATACCCTACACAGACTAATGAAATACTATCTGTAAAATTATCTATGTAAACAAACCTCATCACTTGAGAAGGTAGGTGATGCGGACGTCGTGGAAGACATTTTGTCCCGTAACATTCGTCGTACTGTTGGGGGGAGAAGCGGTGGGGGGAGATGTTCATGTTGCTGCAGTCTGACCGCTAGATGTCGCTGAAAATTACACACTGTAGCTTTAAGCAGTGTTGTATTTTTTTTAGTTACTCTCTGTTGCCGCCTTGTGCCAGTCTCCTTTCTCCTCGCACCCTTTTAGTTACTTCTATCCACGACAAAATTTTTTTTTAAATCTTAGATGCAAAATACATTTTTATTTTATTTTGATATAGTAACTGCTCTAAGTGGGTTGCTCTGTCAGCTAAAGGCATGTTTTTGAGTCTTTATACTCCAGTTAACGATTAATCAATTACTAAATCAGTTGAAGATTATTTCAATAATCAATTAATCCAATTAATTATGTCAGTCCTAAAAGATACGTCCAGATGTCAACATGTAGGTGTGCTTCAGATTCTTAATCTGTAACATAGCACATAAGAACTTGAGTTCAAAGGTCATCATTGATAGCTGGATAGTGCCATTTGAATCCCAGGTTACATCCATTACAGCTGGTCATCCAGGTCCAGGAGACAATCAGACTGCCAACATTATGATTGCCTGTCAGCATGATGTTCTGAATTAAAATTAATCATTGAAGATCATTTAGATGTGTTGTTTGGAAAATCTAAAACGAGCACATGGGTTGTTTTTCTTCTCTTCAGACTTGGCATTTACATTTTATTATTTTATTATTAATGTCCTTTTAGTATTTTTTTCATTGCCAGATTGGTTCTATTTAAGGCATTTCTTTATTCTACATGCCAATATCTTTTAAAATCACAAAAAACCTTTGCGAAAATAAAATGTGGTTGCTGAAGGTGAAGTCATAACAAGAGGAGCTGCTCAACACTGAACTAGTTTAGTTTGGATACATTTCATGAATGTGACAGAAAAGTAAAAATATTTAAAGGTACAGTGCGTAATAAATACAGGGATGTAAAATATTAGGTAGGTCCATTATTATCATCAATGAACTGAAAGTCTCAATTTTTATCTATGCCTTGCCTTAAAAATTGTTATTTTTAACTACATAGGATTGGGTTCCAATTTGTGGAAGCAGACGTATTTTGTGCTACTGCAGGACAGTAACTATAGAGATTTCCATTAGACTCGAATGCGGATGTTTTTTTACAATGAAGGCCTCCGTATTGTTGGGGGCTTGTTCATGTCGCTGCAGTCTGACCATTAGATGTCACTGAATATTACACACTGTAGCTTTAATCCTTCAGAGTGGAATATCAACATTATATCTTCTTAGGCTGGAGAGCTACTCATACCTCGACACTGCTGCAGGAGCAGCTGCACACTCCTCTCATGTTCTTTCTGCTGCTGTGTAAGACGTCGATCTGTGTCGAACTGTGCACGATCCAGGGCATTTTCCAGCCACTGCACCAACCTCTGCTGCTCGTCCAGCTGCATCTCGAGCTCGGCCAGTGCAAGCTGCAGCTTTCGCTCCTCCTCACGAAGAGAAACCACCTACACATCACGGCCAAATAGATGCTGTTTAGAACACTAGTGTGGTAAATTTGTGTTAGTACTAGCATGATCGTTGGAAATAAGCTGATAGAAAAGAACACAATGGAACTTTAAACAAACCTTATCAAAGTACTTGCACAGCAGAGCTCTGGTCTCAGAGGCGGACAGATAACTGAGTTTGGCCATGAGGTTCATTTCCCACTGGGAGAGCATACTGGCAGAAGCCCTTAGCTGTCTCTGCCTCTGAGTGATTGCCTCATTCTTGTATTCAATGGCTGCGTCTAACGCCTCAATGGCCTCGTCCAGCTGGAAAAGGGTCCGCTCCTCCTGCAAAACAACCCAGTGAACATATGTGCATGACAATGTGAAATGACTTCTGGCCATAGTTAATGAGGCAATTAATAAGACCATGTAATATCTTAATAATTGTCACGACAAAGGTTGGGTTAAAAGTGTGAGCTAACTTCGGGTGAGAGCAGGTTTCCCTTGCGCAGTTTATCATCCAGCTCAACGCGCTGTTTGAGCAACGAATCCTTCTCATGCCGCAGATTCGAGATCTCCTGTCGGATCTGCTGGGAGTCCTGAGCGCTGCCGCTTCGAAGGAGACCATTCCTCTCACTGAGCTCTTGCTCCAGGGTCTCGATGCGTCCAGTAAGTGTCACCAAATCTTTACTCAAAGCCTGAGCAAAAGATTGATACCATTTTCAAAGTAAACCTGCAGCCTCTGTAAACTGAGTTACGAGTGTTTCTTAATACCTGACTGGATCGAAGCCTCTTGGTCTCCAGCCCGCTGCGTTCCTGCAGCAAAGCTTCTTTCTTAGCCAGGATTTCCTCTCGTTTTGTCAGTTCTCCTTCCAGATCCTCCAGTGCTTTTCTCTGATCAAGGACCCGCTCCATTTCCTCATCCAGCCAACGCTTTTGTTCCTCAATCTTCTGCTCCCACAGGGTCAACACAAAATCAGACAACCTGGACAAACTGTCGCTCCTTATGATGTGCTTCAAACAATTTCTTGCCTCACCTGTTGCTCTTCTAAAGAAATGACGGATCCATTACTTCCGCTGCGTCGTTGTCTCTGGAAGGCTGCGATCTCCTCGGTCTTTATCCTCAGAATCTTCTGCTGCTGCTCATTCTTTATCTCGAGTTCCTGCAACAAGATAAAGATCACAGATCAGAGTGTAAATATAAAGATTAAATGATGTCCAGCTGTCCTGTTTGTTGAATAAAATAAGATGCTGATCATGTTCCAATTATGTTGCTTTGTTCTACCTTGACTCTGTGAGTCCTTCTCTGCATTTCAGTCTCCAGCCGCCGTTTCTGCTGACTCTCCTCACGCAGGCGTCTCTGCAGCTGCTCCTGTTGCTGCTTCATGGACTGGACGCTTCTCTCCAGCTCCAACACGCGACGCTCACTCTGGACAGGAAGGTTGGCCAAACGGACCGTATCCCTCTGTCGCTGGCTGAGAACCTGACATTTTACCCAAATTATTACCCTCTTTAAACCCCAATCTTAAAAGGTCTAACTTTAGGTAGAAAATCAATTTAAAGTCATTGAATAAATGAAATTCTCATTCAAACCTGAACTCTGCTCTGAGCAGCAGCTATCTTCCTGCGACATTCCTGCGCTCTGCTCCTGTCCGTTGTGCTGATTTCTCTCTCTTGTCTCTCCAGATCCTGCAGTTGTCGCTGAGCCTCCTGCAGCTCCTGACGGGCCTGCTCAGCTTCACTTTCCAGGGCTGAGATCTTATGGCTGTACTGCTTATTCAGGGCCTGCGCATCCTTACCTAGAGAGATGAAAATCAGCTTATATGTACAGCACAACATGTCATCTATCAGGCTGGGTAAGAGCCAAGAAGGGGCAGCAGAGCTACCTGTTTTGACCAGCTCCTTGATGAGTTCTTCCTTCATGCGGATGGTCACAGACAGCTCCCTGATCTTCTGCTGTGCCTGAAGAAGCCCACACTCTGATATCCCCTCAAAGCTTCTCAGACTGTCCCCACTGCTGGAGTTAGCTTTACAGAGGTTAAAGAGCAAATATAGGAAGTTAGCTGGGTTAGAGGTTTGAGATGACACTACGGTATATACTTATACCTGCTAACCTTATATGGGTTAATAGATATAGAGACACAGATATGGATATATATATATATATATATATATATTTTTTTTTTTTTTTTTTTTTTTCTAAACCTCTTCATCTGTTATTTTCCCACTTTTAATGACTAAGAACATTTATCATTTATTTACATTAAATTTGCTCATATAAAAAGAAAATAATTTAAGAATCTTTTTTCGTCTTCATATTCTGAAAAGGCCTGCCTTCCAGGTAAGAACTAAACTAAATGAAATATCTGAGACTTGAAGCTGTTTGAAATGTCTTCATATCATTTCTGGAAATTTAGAATATGATTACACTTACATGCTTTTCTGGCTAAACATGGGTGCTGATCTGGCTCAAGCTGAGAAAATGGGCCTTTACTGACTGTTCCTAGTCCTCCTGAAAGCAGGTCTCCCTTGGTCCAGGTCAGGTTCGTCGACCTAATTTGGCAAACAGTATAGAGCAGAGTTACTTTAAATACATTATATTTTTCTAAAAATTCCACTTTTTAGAGCATTTGCCAACAGATATGTAGCTTTGACTCAATTTTAAAAATGTGCCTTATCACCTGTATGTTTTAAAAATCATGAAGCTTAACTTTGCAAAAATGAATTAAGATCAGCTTTTTTTTCAAAATAATTACAGAAAAAAAACATAATCATATCTAAGTATATTTCAACTTACTTGTTCCATCACACACACCAAAATGGTGCAGATGAGAATACAATGTTTTCAGATGAGTAATCATTTTAGTTATTTAACTCTTTTATTCATATCAAACTTCTTTTATTTCATTATTGAAATTTGAGATGTAATAAGATTCTAAAAACAGGAAAGTTATCCAAATTTCTAGACATTTTAGATCATAAAACAAAACTGCATAGTAACTTTGTCTATGAAGTATTTACTTTGTGCTATAACTGCAGTTACTAACTCGGTTACATTTTTTTAGTTATAACCAGTGACTATAAACAGTTAGCTATAGTTGAAACTAGCAGTCATCCTTTAAATTAGCATTAATTCAGACAGCTGTTAGAAAACAAAAAAATACAGAAGGCTTAAATGTTAACTGTGATGTCGTAAATTAAAGGTAACTCATGTAAATTCAACTTAAAATAAATTTGTCATTTGGCACACTGTATTGGTATCACTGTGTATAACGTTGAAATTAAACTGTTTTAATACAGTTTAATTAATTTTAATACTAACAAAATGAGGAGAAATGGATTCCATACTTTTCACTAAGTACTGGAACAATGATAATGAGAGCCTTTACCTGCATTTCTCTTGGCTAATGCTGGTATGACCAGCGTCTTTTTCCCTGAAATATGTCTCTGCTCCACCTTCGATCTCCTGGTCCTCATCAAGTTTCCCTTCCTGGTCGGAACCCTGTCCTGTATGGCCCATCAAGCTGGCCTGTAATCATACACACAGAAACCATGTTAGGCCCAAACATGAAAAATCTTAAAGCTCTAAAGTCTAAAAGGCTAACTGAAAGGTCAAATCTGACTCTTGTTTAATCTTTCCATACCAGCGTTAGAGCCTATCTGATTATTTTTGGCTAAATATATATCAAATCATCAAATCTGGTGTTTATGATTGATGTTTTATGATGTTTTATTTATGGTTTTACATAATCCCTCAGGAGTATTTAGTAAAAGAATGCAGAAATGATCAGACGCCACAGAAATGGCACTTACAGCTTACTATAATAAAAGCTAAAAAGTATATCCCAAAAAATCTATATCTACCGGTATCTCTATATCTATATATATATCTCTATCTCTATATCTATCTATATATATTTTACACAATTTTCTCAGAATCGAACATGTGACTAGCCTCTCATTAAACCTGACATGTTCCTCATTGAATGTACATTTATTTATACATTATTAATATCATCAGTAACATTCTTGGCCTATAGATAAACCAATCAAACATATTTGTCTTTTAAAGTGGTTTATATTTACGGTACACTTAGTTTTAAATCCTCATTTAATCTGTTGCAGCTGCTCAGGCTCTGGCTGCTCAGTGGCGCTTTGGGTAGCACTGCTGCGTGGCAGCAAGAAGGTTCCAGGTTTGATTCCCGGCCCGGGGTCTTTCTGCATGGAGTTCTTTACGTGGGTTCTCTCCGGGTACTCCAGCTTCCTCTCACAGTCCAAAATCATGACTGTAGTGGCGATTGTTTGTCAAACCAAACATCCAATAAAGTTCCAATAAGCCACTATAGGCACTGGGGTCACGTTTTGTTGACGCAGGCAAAAGAAGTTGAAGTCCAAACTTGTAGATGTTCAGTTGATTTATTTCCTATATTTTTTGCAACATTACAGAGTTCAAACTTTCCTTGCTTTGTCACCTCTCTTGTACTGGTAAAAACCCATAGGCCCCTAACCCAAATGCCTGCTGGTCCTTACCAGGCTCCTACAATTATAGAAAGTGGACAGCCCACATTTCTTCCTGTTTTACATGAAATAAATAAAGAAAAAATGATAAAACAACAAAAAATAAATACACAAAATTCAACAATGAACCTATAAATAAAGTCAGTAAATAATACAAAAAATATATAAGTTTAGGAATTAACACAATTCAAATGGATAAAGAAATAAAGAATAAATAGCTCCAACAATGACTGTTAGGGTAATTTAGAATTTCTCTAAATTCTCCTTAGGTGTGAGAGTGCGTGTATGAATGGTTGTTTGTCTCTGTGTTGCCCTGCGATGGACTGGCAAACTGTCCAGGGTGTACCCAGCCTCTCGCGCATAAACAGCTGGAGATAGGCACCAGCACCCCTCGCGACCCCAGCAGGGATAAAGCTTCACGGGAAATGGATGGATGGAATGGATGGATGGATGGGATGGAATCTGTTCCATAGATCTAGCCCATGCACTCTTTTTGGTTGTCCCATTAAGTTGTTGGTTTTTCTTCTTCATTTCATCTTAAATAATAACTCACCTCTCTGTCACAAAACAGTTGTTTTCATATTGTGGTTCTGTACTTTGAAAATGAATTATGCAATTTTTCATTCTTAAAATAAAGACATGTTTAAAGTCTAGGTTCATTTTAATTGCCCCAGTTTTTATGTTGTAGTTTTCCACATAAAATGAGCACTGATACATTAAACACGAACGAAGGTTTTATTTGTCATGTGCTCATAAAAACATTAGAAAACCCTTGTTTTTCTTCCTAATATTAATTACCTGAAGAATACAAATAACAAAAAAAAAAGAAAAGAAAAAGAAAGAAAGTGTGGTATAATTTTTTTTCCATAATTCTAGGTCTTCACAAAGTGTCAGTTTTATAAAGGAATGCAGCCAAATGAAAAACAGGAGGAGGTTGGCTCTGGTGTAAAAGCTTTTTTACCTGTCTGGCTGTGCTTCCATTCTGACCGTGCTGCATGGAGCTCATGGGGGCAGTGTGTGGCCTTAACCTCAAGTTGAGACCCATCAGGCCAAAAGTAGACAGCTGGTACTGCAGTTCCGTTATCACGTCCTGTTGCTCCTGTAGCTTGTCGCTCTGAAATAGAATAAAGAAAAATCCTTAAAGTATAATATTATACACATGCTTAGGATAACAAGTTATAGCTGAACGTGGTTAATTCTGGGAATGCTATTCAAACATACATAAACAGCATCACATAAACTATGTGTAACCTGCTGCTTGTATTGCTCCATGGCGTCCTCCAGTGCTGCTAAGAAATCAGTGTTTTCCTTCTCCAGGCGTTGGATTTCTGATTGAAGATGAAGTATACTCTCTTTCTCATTTTCATGATCACCGTCCCAGCTTTCCTCCACAGCTTCTGTGTCCTGTCACAGAAGTTTATTAAAAAATAATCAGTAAAAACCACCCATAAAGTGAACAAAATATATCTGAAAGAAACATACGTGATTCCTAATAGAAGGCCTGTTTCTTCTCAATGCCACGGTTTCCTCGGTGGAGCTGTTCTCGATACCGCTGTCTGGTCCGGAGGCGGTTGTGAGCCCACTCCTCTCCTCCTCAACCGAGCAAAGCCACTCCTTCACCCTCAGACTGTGTTCTGTGGTTAAAGCCCCCTCGCTCTGCAGTTCCCGCAGCAACCTGTTCCACAGCAGCAGTGCACATATTAATACAAGACATATTAGATCTCCAACACAAAATGGACTAAAATCTGTCCTGTTAAACATGGAAATCATCAAACTAATTCAAACAAAAAAAATCACCAGTTGAGCAATGAAAAGCAATAAAAAACAAACCTGTAAGCAGTGTCTGTACAAGTCCTGTAGTGAGCACTTTGTGCTTGCAGCCTGCAGATCTCTGCTTCTCCGAACCGAGGTCTCCTGTTCGGATCGCCGTGAGCAATGATTCGCGTCTCAGAGCGCTGACGGTTTTCCAGAGCCCTACGAAGGGCTTTGATTTGCTGCTCCAGTCCTTCCACACGATCCGGCTCTCGCTTGAGGTTGACCATAGCTTTGTTTTGAATGTTTCTGGCCCTGGTCGCATAGTTCAGAGTGTTAAGACTCTCATCAAAGTCTGAGTTTGATGGGCTGATGCAGGCAATCATCAGTGTTTTTGAATTTCCTCCAAGAGAGTCTTTTAGAATCCTAAAACAAGAACAGAATTTATTAAAGGTGTCATTTAACGTTTCCAGATGGAATATAGAACCAAAACAGACATACCTTGTGATTTTAGAGTCTCTGTACGGTATATGGGAACCTTTCCTCTTTGGGTCCCCCAGAGCTCCTATAACATTTCCCAGAGCCAAAAGCCCGCTGTTGATTTGGATGCTCTCTTTCAATCTCTCTCCAGTGTTACCAGTCCTTAAAATGCGCTCTGACCCTGCCAGGTCTACAAAGTGAAACTTGGAAGACAACACCTGTGGCCCAGAGCTTCCAGCACTCCCATACAGGCGAGAACTTCCACGACGCTGATCCATGTAGAGTGTGAAAATGGTGTGAGACCTGCTGGAATTTGGATTCATCTGGGTTGCAGCGGTGTGTCTAGCTGTGTTTCCCGACTCCAGCAAGCTTAACACCTCATCAAGGCCCTCTACTTCACTCTCCTTTACACCACTTAGCACTAGAAAGTAACAGGAAATACATGAAGGCAATTATATATTGTATTTATTTTGCGACACAAAAACTGAAACGTCTTCTGAATGCATACCAATGTTCCCTTTATCCTCCCTGATGTGAATGTCCTTGCTGGCGGTCTTCACCTCCAGCAAGTCCTTGAACTCCTCTTTGTACACCTCCAAATAGGAAACTCGTACAGAGAAGTCGGTCAGATCATTTTCATCGAGCAGTTTGAAAACATCAGCAACAGCCCTGGGGATGATACCCTGCTCCTCCTCTCTAAAGGAACCTAGACAGATAGGCACATTTTCAGGACCACATGAAAGCCAATTTCAAACCAAATGCTTCAAGAAAGAACTTTAGCAAGGAAATGAAAAAAAATGAAATTTTTGAAAAGTTTTTGTCATTTAACACAACAAAGCAATACAAAAATATAAAAACTTACTAATATTAGCTTCTCCAATAGTGTAAGTCTTGCCTGAGCCTGTCTGGCCATAGGCAAACACGGTGGCATTGAATCCTTGAAAGAATGCATCGATAAGTGGCTGAACAGACACAGAATAAACATCCTCCTGACAGCAACTCTCCTCAAACAAGAAGTCACAAACAAAGTGTCGTTCATGGCCCAGCGTGACCCGGTTCAACTCAGGGTCTACGGTGATGCAGCTCTCATGGCAGTGCAGGAGCTCTTTGGGAAGCAGAGGACGAACTCGAACCGCAACTTGGACAGCAGAATAGTTCCCTCTACCTTGGCCTGAAGGTACTTTGGGCGACATTTTTTCCTCTTCCTCCTCCTCTGTAGCACACTGTTACGTACCCGTCATCTTTGGACCAATTAAAGAGACAAAAATAAAAAACGTGTTAGAATAATAATAATCATACATTTTATCTGTAGGTGCCTTTCTCGACTAACAAGGTCACTGTACAAATTTACAAAAAAATGCATTCAAATAAACAACAATAAAGATCAACAAAATAGGCAGAGGCAACGACAATAGGCCTCAGACAGAAAAGGCAGTCTTAAACAGATTCTGAGTTGGAATGGTAATGAATTCCAAAGATGGAAAGCAGAGCGGGTGAATTAGGACAGAAGGACAGTAGGAGGAATGTTAGAAATGCATTAATAATGGATTATTTTATGTTTATGGCTGGTAAAAACAAACAAACAAAAAAAAAAACTACAAATATAGAATAAAAAAAAAAAAAAAAAAACAGATGACAACGCCAGTCCTCAGTGGCTGGTATCCTGCAGCTAACACACCTGAATCCAATGGCTAAATTACCTCCACAAGCTCTCTACTGTGCAGATATTTTTATATCTAAGGGAAACATATTCCGGGACATAACAGCTTTTTTCCTTCTTTTTCTGCTTTTTGTACTATACCCTCTTTTTATATTGTCTGATGTAACTGTGTCTTTAATGGCATCTTGCTTTAACTCTTTATACTCTATATAAACTACTGGAACCAGATTCTCCCTGAATAAGTAATCCCAAGAGATAAATAAAGTTGTACAACATATAGTCAAATTCTTCTCCCATCTAACTACTTAAGTCAGGTGTGTTGGACTAAGTCTGCAGGAACTGTAACTGCTCATCTCTGCAACAGGATAAGAACAGCCTCGCCTCCAAAAGTCTTTAATATTTCTCTAGAGAGACAAAAATGAGCTTCAAATTCTATCACAGCATCTTTTTTTATGCTCTATTTTGGAAATGTTAAGAGTCATAATAATAGTAATACTTATCGTTACCATCACACGGTAAATAACCATCATATGGTAAATCCTGATGTAAATGTAGCATGTTTTACTTGCTGTAAAGTTAGTCTGTGTACTATAACAATCAAAAATACATTTTAATATGTATATTCATAACTGCTATGTTGATAAGCTGGGAGATGTATTAACATAATGTATTTAGCAAATTTCAAATATTAAAAATAACATCAAATGACGTCTCCCGTGTATTTAAAGGACACATTTGTTTGAAACTCCAAACAGATTCCTGACTAATTCTCAAAAATTAAAGTTTTAAGCATTTTTTCTAAGTAATGACCAGAAAAGTTTTAAAATATGAGTTTTTACCGGTAGGTCGCCTATATTAAAGTTATATATTCCTGTACATCTCCTGTCTAAAGTTACTCAGAAAACTTTAATCATGTTCTGATTAAAATGACGTATAAAATGTATGCGCTTAGCAATATATAGTATGTTTATACGTTATTTAGTAATAACTTTTGGGTGTTTTTCGATTACTCCTCCAGTTATTATAAACGCAGCGGAGTAGCGGGCGCTGCTGTTAGCAGAGTGACGCTAAACTTTGTTATTGTCTGTGTTACGATAGACTTTATTAGTGAATATAAAAGAGACAAAAAGCCGACTAGCTTTTCAAAGCCTTGCTATTTACCAAGCAGCGTGGTAAAGGAAACAGATATGCGCTCGTTTTTTAACATAAACTGCAGCTAAGCTAATGTTAGCCGGCTGTTTGAACAACAATCCTTACCTGAAGAAGAAAAGAGGAGAAGAAGAAGAAGCAGGCTGAAGTTGTTCACACTTTGGTATGAACTATTTATAAGGGTGAGGTTACACCGTATGCTCTCAGTGGGTGAGTAGGGTGGAAATTAATATTCCACTCTAACCAGAGCTTACTTCGGTATAACACTGGTGTTTTCCCCTTTTTTTTTTTTTGGGAGAATGGAAGTTGGGGGGCAGTCCAGGGGAGGAGCTGGGCTGTAATGTTGGGTTAGCAGCTCAGCATCATTTAGCAGACACGAGGGCTGTGTTCGAATTCATGGGCTGCTTCTTACAAATGCGCTTTCTACCTGGACTCGATCCTTCAAAGCAACCGTTACAGTTGACACACAAAGCAGGAAAAGAATGAATACCGAACTTTTCAAAACTGTTTCTTTTTATTATATTAAAAAGAATTAGAAATTACAATACAACTTTGTTCACATTACAATAAAACACAATTTATTTTGTTTTATTGTAAGTGAACAAAGACTACACTCCTGAGCAGGGGCCACCCTTAGCCAAACATTGGCCACCCCTGTGGCAATCTTTACTATTTTTTCCCCTCTAATACAGATAGCAGGAATACTCAGGTGGAATATTTAATACATTTTAATTTTTCATATGTTAACAGTTACTTGGCAACAAAAACACTGGAGTTAATTATGCAGATCAATATACTAACTTTAAAGATGATAAATACAGAATTCCTGCTCTTTTCAGAACTTGTGTTATTTGGCAAGGAGAAAATGATGTGTCTTTGCAAATGATCCAGGAGTCTTCAGTAAAATCATAGATAAATAATTATTTGAATAAAAACGGAATAAATAATCAATTTATTTAGATTTAAGTACTTGTAAATATAAATTTTATGCAGAATGATTATTGATAAAAGCTGGTAAGTAATGACATTGAATAAGATGTTCAACCCAGAGCTTAGACCTGAAATAATTGTATACACTATACCTTTTTCTGTAGAAAGCACAAATGTTTAAATATATGTGTCTATTTGTTTGCAAAGGTTGAGGGAAAGTTTAATTATACTTTATTTAGAAAAAATGGATGTTGTTGTTGTTAATTTTCCTGTTGGAACAGTTTAGATTGACCCTGAGATACTGGCGCCTATCCATTGTGGGCCACCCCCCCAGTGTACATTGGTTATTGCCTGGCCACCCTCATTAAAATTTTGTGGCTACGCCTCTGCTCATGAGAATCCAGAGTGGAATGGTAAATGGTAAATGGCATGTACTTATATAGCGTCTTTATTCAAGTCAGGAGACTTGACCAAAGCGCTTTACACAACATTCATTCACCCATTCACACACACACTCACACACTGATGGTGGCAAGCTACATTGTAGCCACATCTGCTCTGGGGCTCACTGACAGAAGCGGGGCTGCCGTACACTGACGCCACCGGGCCCTCTGACCACCATCAGTAAACAATGCAGGTGAAGGACACAACGACACTGAAAGTCGGAGTCGGGGCTTGAAACGTCAATCCTTCGATTTCAGGGCAAATTCCTACATCCAACCACCAGGAGCATGAACAAATAAAAGCCAATGTAATGATAGAAACTTTAGTCAGTTAAATAACATTCTGCTGTCATTTTGCACATCTCTGATGTTGCTGCTATTTTAAAATATCCATTACTGTAAAAATGTCCATAGATGCATATTGGTTATTTATTCTCCGGGTGCACATATTTATATTGTTAAAGCACTTTACAGTGCAGCATTTTAGTGTTTATATTTGAACCCTTCCCAATTATTTTATTCATATACATTTTTCTAAGGTCCACATTTGTATGACCTTTTTTTTTCAATAATGGTTTTGCTGCTGTAAATTTCACCATTGTGGGACAATAAAGGGATTTTCTATTCTATTCTATTCTATAAAAGGGGTAGGAAGATATGAGTAAATCTAAACAATGTATGTATAAAAATATATTTACTAAAAGTTTTATATTCAACAACAAAAAACACTTAAACAAACTGTGCAAAATAGCAATTAAAAAATAAAAATCATATCAGATTTATAGTCCCCACACAGCAGATATATTAGAATCTGTCCTTAAATTACAGCCAAACCAATTTATACAGTAACAGAAAAAAACCTTTAAATAAATTTGACCCAGTAACCATTAAAATAACTATTTTCATTAATTTCAGATGGAACTATTCACATACTTGGATCATATTAAACTGAACTTCCAATATTCACCACTGTTCGGCGTCAAGTACCATTTCCTCTGATCATGGAGGAGCAGCCAGCCTGCTTGGTCTCACAATGAATCCTGGATTATCCAAGGATGCTATGAATCTGGCCTTCGGAGGACGCATCCCATAAATTTGAACATGGCAGAGGACTCCAAAACCTCCACTTCACATTATTACACATGGGGATGCAGAAAACTGCTCCACACACAACATTGTCATCTAAAGTTGTGGGTTTGATTCCAGGTTCACATATCGTCATCCTTGGACAAGACATTTAACCCCTGCAACAGTTGGAAAATTCAGTCAATTTACCATTTATACTTTAAAGTAAAGGGAAAAAAAACTCTCCTTAGAACTGATTTAAAAAAGTATAATTTTTTTTACACCAATACTGAATCCAGAAACCACACTAGATCTGCAATTATTTCTACAACAACCATAGGCATTAATAGGTTAATCCTTACACTGAGTTGAACATTCCTTCTTTTTGTAATTTTTCTATTAAAGAAAATCACAAACATGTGTTTCATACCATTTTTTGCTAAATCTTGCGAGCATTTATTGTTGATTATCAAAACTAGGAAAAAAAAGAATTTTAAGGAATAGATTCCTTACTGACTTGGGTGGACGTCTAAGTTCTGACCAGCAGGGGGTAGTGTTGCATAATAATCCTATCAACTAATCAAACTAAAAGGCATACATTTACCAGCACATCTCTACCTGGAACAAAATATAAAAATATTTTTTGGGAAAAATAAAATCACTGTTCTGACACAGAATTAAAATTGCCTGTCAGACTATTCCGAGTGTCTGTCAGCTTTTTTGGCCTCATTTCAGGTTAATGTAAAGTTTCCTTTTCAAGAGGAAAACAGGTTATTTTTGCACCAACCTCAGTACAATTGTACTTTTACTTTTTTACTTAAAATTCTGTGACATTCCTACTGTCTAGCAAATCAAATATGACTAAAAATGATCATGAAAGGATTTGTTTAAATGGAAACAGTGTTTGTCCTCCACATGCCTAACTGATTGTAGTTGTGAGGATGCAATAAGTTGTTTTTTTATTGTACCGGTAATTTTTTTTTTTTTCAAAAGTAAAAGTACTTTTATTATCAGTGACTTTCACTTTTATCAAGGTAATTTTCTGTTAAGAGATTTTTACTTTTATTTAGCAATTTTTCCTTAGTAATTTATACACCTCTGAGCAAGAAACACATTTTGTGTTTGTATTAAAGAGTAAAACACAGCGATGGATTTAAATTTCTGTGTCCAGTTTTGGATTCTTGTTAAGGTAAGCATTTATACGGTGGTAATAAACAAAGCTATCAATTTAGCATGCATCCATTCTGAGTAGGAAATATTTCCTTAGCTATTATTCCTGGTCTACCATCCTGTCTTGTTTCTTATTTTTTACTTAGCTTTCAGGCTGTAGTTCTGGGATCACATGGAGTATATTTAACAACTGTGAACAGTTTAAATGTTGCTGTTGAAGGAACCATCCCCAGCAGGCCAATTGCTGCAATCACCATGCTTTATTATGGGGGTATTGTTTTAATGTTTGGGTAGTGGCGGCCTCGTGGTTAGGGCATTGCGCTTGGAATCCTGAGGTTCTGAGTTTGAGCCCCACACCCACAGACTGCCACTCTGGATCCCTGAGCAGATACCCTTAATCCCACACTGCTCCCCGAGCGCCGGACAATGGCAGCCCACTGCTCCCCAAGGGGATGGGAGAAATGCAGAGTTCATTTCGTTGCTCTGTACTTTTGACAGTGTAATAACAAAAAAAAAAAAAAAAGATGGAGCTGGATAAAGATCTTGTTCAATATTGGTTTGCTTTTAGATAAAAAATTTTGCATAAGGGTCATGAATGAATAACTTTATGTAAGACAAACCATTAATGAAATAAAAATACATGCATATATTACAAATACGACATATTATATACTTGTTATAATTTTGTGCTGTTTTTAGTGTTTTTGTAAGCTGTCGGATATTTCTTGATTTATACATTAGCTGTGGAATTTGAAACTCTGCCAGATCAAACAATAATAACGCAGGAATGAATAAATAATGGGTTGATTTGGTCATGATAGCTGACCTATGAAGGATCTTGTCGGTTCCACTGTGCAGCGTGCATAGATGTTTTAAGGGATTACCCAACACTTCTATACAGAAGCTCAGGTATGGTAAAATTAGTGAACAGTAAAAAAATGTGTTATGCTTTATACATCAGAACATGTTTTGCTTTACTAAAAATTGTGATGCTCCTAGGTAATTTATTCTGGACATGTTTGATGTGAGGTTTCCAGTGGAGCTTGTAGTCGATAATAATAAGCTACTGATAATTACATATTTCCACATATTGTTGCTGCTACTTAAATTGCTCTTTATCCACTCCAGAACCGCCCCTCCCACAATATAATGCTCTAATTTCCTGATTTATATATCATGATAAATTGTGTCAATTTCTTTTTTTCATGAAGGGAATGGTCATTGAGATAGTGGACTCTTATAATTACCTGGGTGTTCACCTGAATAACAACCTGGACTGAACTCACAACATTGAGCCTCTGTGCAATAATGGCCAGAGCAGACTCTTCCTGCTGAGGAGACTGAGGCATTTTGAGTGCAGGGGGAGCTCCTAAAGACCTTCTATGATTCTGTTGTGGCATCAGCCATCTTCTATGGAGTTGTCTGTTGGAGCAGTGGCTTACCTGTAGCTGAGAGAAAGCGGCTGGATAAGCTAGTCAGGAAGGACAACTCTGTGATTGGATGCCCTCTGGACTCAATGCAAGAGGTAGGAAACAAAGGGACCTTAACTAAAATAACATATATGTTGGGTAATGTCTCCCACCCCATCCATGAAGCTGTTGCTGAAATGGAGAGCTCCTTCAGTGACAGACTGCTGCACCCTAAATGCATTATCACAGTTCCTTCCTCCCAGCAGCTGTAAGAATTTATAACAATCACTGTTTCAACAACCTCAATAAGTTGCTACAATCATGCTGATGTTTCGCAGTTTCTGTCTTATTTAAACAAAAGTGAGTTCTCACAGATTTAATGGGATAATACAGGTAGCAAAAATGCAAAATAAAAATTTAAAAAACAAACCAGAACCATGGAGACGTCAGGGGAAAACAATCACAAGAAGCCAGGGTAAGACGAAGTAAGAAGAGGAACCAGCCCTGAGGGACTGCAAAGGGGTTTATTTATGGCTGACTGAACAAAGGCAGGACTAATGAGCTGATAAGGAGCAGGTGTGAATAGAGCTGACAAAGAAGCTAAGGGAAAAGAAAACACAAGGGGGCAACAGAGGACAAGCAAAGAAAAACCTAAGAAACTTAAATAAACACACCAATAAAGCTAGAAAACAAAGAAAAACATGGATAAACGTGAAACTGAAAACTTAGAGAAAACCAACAGAAACAAGACCGTTAAAATTCTACTTTTGAAGGCAGAAATTTTCCCAGGGTTTTCATTTTGGAGTAAAAGAGTAAGGATAGCTGAACATAAACTGTATGAAGGCCACACTGCATAACTGTATTGTACATTTCACTTCATTTTCACTTCATTATAAGTAAGCAAGTTATTATGACTAAATGTACAACAAATATCTATACTTTTAGAAGGCATTGCTGTTTTTATTCTATAGAAATAGACAAATTCAGTTTTGTGTGTTTAAAACAGCTATTTTGTGTGTAAACTGGTTTTGCTTATTCTAAAGGTAAATTTATTCCTTGGGCTATGATCACAGAAGCTCTTTTCAGCAGCTTGATCTCAGCTGCCTCGGTGGGAACAGTGTTTGCTCTGTACTGTAGGACCTAGTGGTTTTTGACAACCGCACCTTGTATTTATCAGCTCTTCCAGTGTGTTCCTGTTTTTGCAGCATGTTTCACTGAACTTCGTGTGCTTACATATTCCACCATCATGTTTTGTACCAAGATGTATCAAAAATACAAGAAGAGACTTTACATTTTTTTACTCAAAATTTAATAGTTACACTAAGGCACCTGTATGAAGTAAAATCATGCAAGACATAAAACAAGAATATAAAGACAGTTTAATAATAGTTATATAATCTTCATACATTTTGTATGGACCACCCGTATCATCACAGCATGCTGGATATGTAAAATCACGTTAGAAACAATACTTCTCTCTTGTTTAGCTTAATTTAGGAGCTCTCTCTTGTTTGTATTTCAACTTTTAGAGTCCTCTTCACCTTTTAATTATATTTGTTTCACTTTTTTAAAATTCATACTGGGAAACAAACATGGTGATTTTGGTGATGTACCTTCCCAGCTGGACCCGTCTCTCTAGCTCACTCATCTCCACCTCTGCCTCCAGGGTAGCGGGGCCCTGCACAGGGCTCACCAGCATCAGCTGACCCGTCTGACGGTCCGAACGCTGAACTGTGAAGTGGTGGCGCGCTTGCCGTCCCCCTAGTAAGGTGAAGCGAAGCGTGTCACCTAATTGCCTCAGGACTGAGACTCTGAACATGACACGTGGGGCGGACAGGTTGGACACAACAGCTAGGTAATGGTAGGAAAAGGAGTTTGGGGCCTGAGAACAGGATTTGTTATCCAAAGGGCATGGGTTACGTTCACAGCGCCTGGAAAAGAATAAAGGAACATTTTAAGAAAGTACCGGTGCATACTTTTACAAGCTACTGCAGGGATGTGTGCTACAGCTAGAACTACTAAATTATGTGTGGAAAAGTAAGAATTCACGTCTCAGAGAGAGACAATTTGAAATTTAGAGATACTTTTGATAAAGATGAATATTTTATCAGCTAAAGAAAATCTGAACCTTTACATCCAGTCCTGGACTTACTTCACACTATCAAAGTAACTTAAAAATGTTTTTTTTCTCTGTTTTAACATATATGTGTATAGATAATTGGTTATTTTCGGGTGTAAATATCTTGCAATTCTTTGCTTACCATGATTAAGTCCACTGGAGTATAATTTCCCTGCTTTATGATGAGTATTGATTAGATATGGGTTGATTTAAAGCACTATTTTGTTAAAAAAAAATACTAAAGACTTTGCTCACATGGGTGATGTTTTGACATATGTAGCATGAGGGATTTTGGGGCAGTCCACCTGAACACACTGGAACCCCCCGTATGTATTAACACACATCTGATCCTTTGTGCATTTGTTCTGCCTGGTGGCACACTCATCGACATCTGTGAGAAAAAAGAAGAACCAGGAGTTTCAATCAATTAACAAAATACCTTAATGTTGTTTAGACTGTGAAGAAGGAGAATTCTTCATAAACCTTGAGTATTTTTAGACTTGTATGTTTTCGATTTTGTGTTTAGAGGACGAATATAAAGGTGCTGTTGTAAGCCTAGTCTGTTTTAATGCAGAATTTTCTTATGGGCAGTTTACATGTTTTTCTAACATCTGGGGGTTTAGAGCATAGCATAGTTTTTGGAGGTCATTTTTTCTTTTTTTCAGACTTGTAAATTAATTAAATTCAGTTTATTTATATAACACATCATTTATATAACACATTGCAACACATCATCTCCAGGCACTTTAAAAATCAACCAGATCATACAGTCAAATTGATTCAAAGTTTTCTATCTAAGGAAAACCAGTTGATTGCATCGACTCAATCCATCACACTAAGCATGCTTGTAGTGACAGTGGAGAGGAAAAACTCCCTTTTAACAGGAAGAAACCTCCAGCAGAACCGGACTCGGTGTGAACGGCCATCTGCCGAGGACGAAAGGGGTTCAAGGAGATAGAAGCAGACATACAGAAATAAGCAGAGATACAAAAGGCAACTCTGAAAAAGCTCCCTCCAGGAAACACACAATCATTGTTGCCCTCACTTGTCTCGCGTCATAGAGGTCATATACCCCTATTTCATGAAATGCAGCTCATTTTGTTTGTTCCGTATAAAAAAAAAAAAGCATTTTTCAAAGGATTTCAGCTTCTTGTTTTACTGTGATCTGGATGTGCTGGCATTAAACTGGCCTCGATGTATCGCCTAGAATCCCAAAGTTATGGAGGACTCCTTGAAAAAGTAAAGAAGCAGAAAAAAAGTAGAATTGGGAATACACCTTTACAGCTCCGTCCATCACGAGTAATGTTATACCCAGAGGGACAGGTGCAGCGATAGCCTCCAGGAGTGTTAACACACTTGTGTAAACACAATTTTCCTGCAGGTCCATTATGGAAGAGCTCACATTCATCTATGTCTGTAAAGTAAAATTAATGAATGCACATTAGACTTTCCGAACAGACAATTGTTTTTAGAGTTCCACCAAGTAGAGGCTGTGGGACGTACCTGTGCAGCTGTAGCTGTCTCTGCCAGAGATGGTGTATCCCGGCTCACAGGTGCAGTGGGTGGTCCCCTGCACTAAAGTGCAGCGTGACGGACGAACAAACGGCCCAGTTGTGGCAGCTGGTAAGGTGGAAGCAGCTGAAGCGGAGCCAGCAGAAGTATTTGTCATGGTGATAAAGACTGGAGGAGAAGGGGAACAAAAAATGGTGGGCAGATGCAGCAAAAACTTTCAGTTAGTTTTTTTCTTTAGAACTCCAGGCCTTCAGTGTTTCGATTTTTAACTGACACAGTGAGGCAGACATGTCTAATGTACTGATTCGAGTCACTGTCAGTCCCACCAGAGAAAGTTTTACAAGAAGTGGAAGTTTTAAATCAATTAAAAAGCATCATATTTCGAGTTTTGTTTATATATATTTACAATAAATCAATGCTTTAAAAAAATCAGCAAAAGTTTTAAACCTATGGAGCTAAATCGGTCTCAATTTTCACAAATACACATATGTGATTAATACATGCATAGGACAAGTGCCGCAGACGCAGCACAATTCAAGGAAGCACAAAAAATTCACACATACAAAGTACAAGCTCCACACAGCACGATTCATGCAAGCTTACAAGATTCACACATGTTTAGCACATGATTCGCTAAAGTATTTCTGGTCCATAAACAATTATAAATGAAATGATAAAGTACCAGTTGTCTTAAACTTCACTGCATGTGTGTAGAATTTTGAGAATCTCCTGACATATCTCGATACACAGATGCATTTTTTTTAACAGGGGATTGTTTGCAACCAATCAAAGAGCTCCCTTGTATAAGCCACTCACAAGAAAGTAATCCACATGGGATAACTATTTGCTCCCCTCTGGTCCGATGTTCTGTCAGATCAGCATACCGCGTCAGGCCAGCATACCCTTAGTAATACGCATTACATATAGTTTCCTCTGCCTCAGCACTCCTTACATCCAAGTATGCTGTTTTATTTCGCGAATTAGTCAGGTTTTTGTCACAATTTATGCTTAAAACAACAACAACAACAAAATCATTCACTAGGTTCATTACACACATTCGGTTTAAAAACATACATTTCATGTTCGTTAGATGAGGATCTTATTAAAGAATGATCAGCATTTTTTCCACAGAGAATTAAATATTTATAGGGAGAAGATTCTATAACCCAGTTGACAGGATATGAGATTTATTTGTTTTTAGTTTGTTTAATGTGAGCGACATGCAGATCATTTTATTTTTACAGCACATGAGGAACTACTGAAATTATTTTCAAATTACACATAAATAGATTAATTAATTCCACGGGGGGAAAGGAATGGATTAGGATTCACTCGATGATAACAACCTACTGAGCCTACTGGCACAATCTTAAACCATTCAATGGGACTGATAACCACTAATAACGATCATGCGGGTGCATGCGTATTATTACTACGGGTATGATGAGCTGACAGAACACCGGCCAGGTAAAGATCTGCAATTGTAATCACAGTTAACAGGAAAAAGAACATCAAGAAGATCCTGTTTGTCAAATTAAAATATGGTAATGACAGATTGGTAACTACAAATTAGAGCATAATTCTTATATATTTTCAAAACCTAAAACTGTTTCATTAAGTTATGGGATGCAGATTATCAGTACTTCAACATACCAGGAAGCAGATTTCTCATCTCAATCAAAATATTTATTTTATACTGAGAGGCTTAAATGTTTTATCAAATCCAGTCACAACAACTTCCAAGAGCGCATCTGACAACTTCAAAAGAAACCTCTTAATGCAGGCGGCATGGATGCCGAGATTCTGATTTTGGATGTAGATATTTAGATTTATTTATTTATTTGCAAGGGACAACCAAAGAACAAACCAATTTTGTATGATTATTCCTATTACAAACACTCACAGCGAAAAAATAATGTTTGGGCAGAAAAATGTGATTGATGCTATTAGTGAGTTTTAATATGTCATATTAAATTAAGCCTTCATTACCGCATTTTTTTCTCCTATGTATTAAATAATAATATTGTGCATGCTCTCCTCGAGCTCCAAGGAATTCAGAGCGGAGTAAGACAGCTTTGCTTTGCGAAGGCGGTTTGGAGAGGAGCGGTGACTGAGGGGTAGGTTATCCCACGTGGATTATTTTCTTGTGATCGGCTTATACGAAGGAGGTCTGTGATTGGTTGCAAACCATCCCTTGTTTAAAAAAATGCCTTTGTGTATTGAGGCACATCAGGAGAGTCTCAAAAATCCACACTGAAATGCAGTGAAGTTTCAAGACCACTTGTACTTTGTAATTTGATCTCTAATTGTTTATGTACCAGAAATAATTTTGGAGAATCATGTGCTGTGGATGTGTGAATTTTGTATGATTGCATCTGTGTATATTTGTGAAAAGTGAGACCGATTTAGCTCCATATAAACCACACTCCAGTAAATCAGGTCAGAGCGATACATGTTGTTGTTATATAATTTAATCATTTTGTTTCTTGGTTAAAATACATATAAATCAGACATAGTAAAAGCTATGATAGTGGTTTAAATTGAAAAAAAAAAAAGATTTCTGACCTTTGCAATAGTGACTAAAGGTTACATATAGACTTTAAACCACAACAGAAGTAAACCTATTAGTACAGATTAATTACAAAAAATGTATTTGGGAAAAAAAAAAAATCACTATTTGGGAAAAAAAATCACTGGAGAAACTTCTTGTTTTTTTGTTTTTTGCATGAAATGCTGGCCTTGCTCTGCTTTGACTTGTGAGATTTTCTAAACTTCAATGAGTTCTGTGTTTCATCATCTAGACATCTAGACATCTAGATCTATGTTTGTGGTTGCTTGAGAATTATTTAAAAGGAACATTTGCAAGACCATTGAAACAGGTTTAGGAGTAAAACAAACTGTACAAAATATATACATTAAGAAATAGGACACAATTTCCAAAAATACTCTGGAGCTACATCAAGTACTCTTTTAATTAAAATATTCTTTGGGAATCATATGGTCGGGGCCTGGGGCCATAATGCTGTGAAGTCTGTGATTTTTTTTCATTGTTTCAAACAAAAAAATTATATTTTCAATTGGGTCTGTGTCCACATTTCAAACCAAAATTAGAAAGTGACTGAAAAGTAATGTGGAATAGTTGTAGGACAAAGACATAAAAAAAAAGTAAAAGTCGAAACATAAGTAAATAAAGTATTTTAAAAGTTTAAATGAACAAAACAGAAAAAACAGCAATTTTTATGTTTGATGAGTTGGAAGCAGAATATGATGGGATAACAAATAACACAAAACCTCTGCACCTGGTATATATCAGTCCTTATATTATTTTCTTTATATATCTTTTTTCTTTATATTTCTTCTAATTCAGAAGTCAACATTTACTCTCTGATATCATTTGTTTAAGACAGGCTTCAAAAGAAAATCAGTCTCCTTAAAACTGATATATTATAGATGTTTTTACCACTAAACATAAAAACTGACTTATATGGTTTACCACCTTATCAGAGGGATGAAATAGTGAAAGAAATGTGCTTTAAACTCACATGTTGGCACTGGGCTTTGACAGGTCTCTCCAGCCCAGCCTTTTGCACAGACACAAGAAAACTGGTTTACCTCATCCACACAAGTCCCTCCATTCAGGCATGGAGAAGACATGCACTCATTGAAGTCTGAGGGAGGGAGGCAGAGACAAGGTTACACATGGCTGGTTCCTTTGAAACCACCAGTTCATGGCCACATCTAAGACTTAAATCTGACTCTTAAGCTACTAAGACACCATGACCATCTGGATCCATAACATAGGAATTTGAGAAGATAATAAGACAAAGCAAGCTGATGTTAAATGTTACCAATTGGAAAGAAAATCCGGGTTTGATCAAAATCTGAAAACATTTAGGAGAGACAAATTTGTTTGAATGGAATATACCCATGTTAGACCTTTTCTGGACAAAACACAGCATGTATAAAAGTCGTATGATCACAAACAACAATCAAAATGCAGAAGGAAAACAAAAAAATTAGATGAAAAGAAGACAATTAGAAGGGTTGATAAAGCAGATGGAGACTGTGTAAATCATCGGTTAGAGAGTAGTGTGATGTTGGGGGAGAAGTAAAAAAGGAGATATAAAAAGGAGGAAGAGGAGAATAAATTGTAGAAAATGTCTCATCAGCCAGAGAACGTTATACAAGAAATAATTCAAACCTCGGCATGTTGGCTGCTGGCCAGTCCAGATAAGGCTTTCCTGACAAACCCTGCTCTCTGATCCCACTATTTCATACCCAGGGTCACATAGAAAGTGGACCTCATGGCCAACATTGTTGGATTTGCCAAGTTTCCACCCATTAATGGGTGCATCCAGTTTGGGGCAGGTACCTTTTTGAAATACAGGCATTGAACATGAGCATTAAAAATAAGCATCAAAGCAATAGACAGACAGACAGACAGACAGACAGACAGACAGACAGACAGACAGACAAACAGATAGACAGACATTTATAAGCTCAGCAGCTTACTGTTTACTGGTTTCGCTGCCTGCTTTCCTGCACTGGTTTGCAGTAAATTAATCTTCTTCTTCAGGTTGCGTAGACTCTGCAAACAGGAGGCTTCATGGGCTGACAAAAGCTTCTGTACCTGCTTCAGGGTACCTTGGAGTTCCTGCCTATTCGGACAAACCTGGGGCAAAACAGAAAAAAAAAAACCTAGCCACTGATGCCACAGCTTTATTTGCAATTAGGACATTACATCTATTAAGAAATCCACCCTAAAACCATAAACATATTATTTTAGCTTCATGTTAGCTAAACAAATGTAGGAAATGTAGATTTGTGCTGTCCAAAAGTACTTGTGTGCTAGAGTTGATGCTGTACCACCAATAAGTAAACATAGCCACTAACTTTCATATCATTTAGTCTATTTTACTGAAATTTCATGTATCAGACCAACAAAGTACTGCACAAATGTAAAGCTGAAGGAAATGCTGATTTCAAATATTTTATTAATAAAAAAAAATGCTGCCTGTTTATGAAAATGGCCACAAGCAATTGCTTTGAATAGTCAACCAATAAAAAAAATAAAAGAAAGATTCCATAATTTAGTTGAATGTCAAGAATGGGAGAAAACAAGTAGAAAAAGTTGTTCCGATCAGAAACATTCAACACATTTGGTTAACAAGCAAGGCCCAATTGCTTGTGGAAAAACTTTGGTAATATAATCCCAACGCTGAAACACGCTGTCGAAAACGCTTTGCCAGCAAAGATACAGCTGGTCAGAATTTGAAAGATGTGTGGTTCTAAACACAGGTCACTTTAGGAATAAAACCTGTTGAGAGCGGCTAAAGAGTATAGATTAGGGTGGAGGACTTTCGGAGAGTTTGGCTGCACGATGCCACAGAAGTGCCTTGCAGCCAGACTGGTACTGGGTTTGATTCCCAGGTTCTTTCTGCATGGAGTTTGCACATTCTCCGCTTGCATGTGTTGATTTTCTCTGGGTACTCTGGCTTCCTCCCACAGTCTGAAAAAAATAATGTTAGGTCTATTGGCATGTTTAAATTTCACTTAGCCGTGAGTGTGTGTGTGTGTGGTTTCATGTCTCTGTGCTGCACTGCGATAGACTGGCAACCAGTCCCGAGTGTTGCCCGCATAGACTGCTGTAGGTTGGCACCAACCCTGACGGATAGGTGCAAGAAGATGGATGAAGGGACTTTTAGCCAAAGACAAGAGGTTTAGATCGAGGCATGGAAACTATTCTTTCGGGGGTAATGAACTGAATTAGGGCTGCAACAACGAATCGATAAAATCGATAAAAATCGACTTTTAAAAGCGTTGGCAACGAATTTCATCATCGATTAGTTGTGTCACGCAATTAATGCGTCATCCGCCGCCGCCGTCATCACATCCACTTGACTGAAACGGGGGAAGACAAAAGAAAATACAGCAGAGCGAGCCAGCGCCGGAGGTGCAGTGTTGCCATCTCAGCGACTTTCAGACCCCTCAAGCGACTATTTTTTTAAAAAGCGACTAGCGACAAATCTGCCGACTTTTTACGGTGTCACTGGTGGCTTTTGGAGACTCTTACGTGAAAGCATGTATCGTTCCTACTCTGCCGTGGGGCGCCTCCCCCATCCCAACCACGTTCTCCCGCTACCGCAGGAGTCCCTCTCAGCTCTGCAGTCAGAGCCGCAGGATGTTTACCCTCAGCGTCCGACTGCAAATGAAGCGCGCATGCGCCGGGATTGACGGCCCAAATTGATCACAATAATTAAAATAGCCTGCGCTTTGTAAAGTAAAAAAAGTCGTAACATGCAACTTTTGTCAAAACAAATTAACATGGCACGGAACCACCATGTTTGTTTCGTTTTAAAGTGGGGAAACATAACGTTAGTTTCTCAGGTAGCTCATCTGATGCTTTCCTTACCTTGTTAGTAGGTTACAGACAGTGATAAGGTCTGCTACTTATTTTACTTTTAATTTCATTTGAATTAGCTTAAGCAGCGTTTATATTTACTTTATAAATAAATTAACTTGCAAATTATGAGGGCAAGGCTTTTAAAGTTTAAATCTTCTGGCAAAGATAAAGTAAAGATCCTGTAATTTATGGAAGTAAAGCAGAATAAAATCCAGCAAGATCAGTAATATGTCAATTAATTATATGCCACATTCCCATGTAAATCTGTCTTTGGAGGATGTGTTTTTTAACACCCCTAGTTCTCTCATTTTTATTCCAAATACAATTTATAATTTGAATCACAGGGCTATTTTGATCTCTATAGTTAAGTATTTTCTCAAGTAGCAACTTTAACTGCTATACTTTCCTGTCTTAAAAGGCAGAACTCTTCTAGTCTAAAAAAAACTCATTTGTTGAAATGGGGGGACCTATTGTTTGAACCCCTTAGGGGCTTTTAAAATCAAAAATGTCTTTTTTTGCACTTTATGAAACAAAGTACCCTATATTTTGTGGATGTACAGCTACATTTCTCATGTAAGTTTGCGTAGTTTTAACACTAACATTTATTTTTCATATTGCACCAGGACAGTTAATGAGCAACCTGTATATGTGTGCTTGTTTGTTCTGTCTAAAATGTTTATTTTTGAATTAAGAGGTTAATATAAAAAATATTTTTTGTCAGATTCATCGATTAATTGAAAAAATAATCGGCCGATTCATCGATTTTTAAAATAATCGTTAGTTGCAGCCCTAAACTGAATAACATGCCAAGGAGGGAGGTTGAATAAAAATAATAAAATAAGATTAGAAATTAAGGACAACATAGTATGGCCCAAATAGTTTTGTACTACTTCTACCAAAGAAAACAAAATGTTTTAACACACCAAATATCCTTTTCAAAGTTTCCATAGCTCTTCATTCACAACTATTCTCATCAGTTGTAAAACAGAGAGAAATATTGAGAAAAAAACCCCAAAACTTTAAGATTGTGTATGTGTGTGTAAATAGACTCAAAGTGCAATGTTTCAGAAGGTGCAAATACTTTTACAATAGGGTGTAGAAGGAATCAAAGTTTTCACTTAGAGAACAAGCAGAAATTTCAGTAGCTCAGTCATAAACACACAAACCATCTGTACAACATGTGATCATCATTTTAAACTAAAGACTGTGTAGGAAACTCAGAATTCGACTCATTGAATTCAGTTAGCAATACTAGCAACTCTACTTCCTCTGGCAAATCTTTCATGTTTTGGATGGAGAGGGAATGGAGGGGCACTTTCATGTTTTCAGGCTGTGCAGTCCCCTTGTTGCCCTCATTCCTTCATCTACATCTTACCCCTACCTGCCCAGCCAAACATAAATGTTTTTGCACAACCAATTGGTGTTTTCATCTAGTAGGAGTTATGTAAGAAAAGCCAATATTTGTTAAAAACACCTTTCTTTATTTAAGCTCAACAGGGTTTGGAAAGACTTCAATCATCCAGAGGAGATGGAGGCTGGTGTTTCACAGCGTTGCACTCAAAGGCCTCTTTCTGCCCCCGATATACAGCATTTAAAGTAGCTCACTAATGTTAGCACACACACTAATGTTAGTTTGGCTCAGAATTAAAGTAATCAAAGTTAAGTAAAATCAATACAAACCAAGTAAAAATAATCAATATATAAGTGCGTATAAAGCAAATAGAGGACTTCAATCAACTCATGTTCTTGCAAACCATCATGTTGACCACATCTCAGGGAAAAAGTAAACAAATACTGTACATGAAGGTGCAGTCATACATGCAACAGTCTGAAGAGACTTAATCACAGATGCTCAGCTTCTTGGAAAAGTTTTGCAGCGAAGCACAGCGTAGATATAGAAATGAATTCAACGCTGGCAGACTGTGGCATGCTGGTGCTGAAACTTGCGTGCAAAGCAGGGTGAGGGAAGTATTTTACTCCGTAGTACAGTTAAAACTTTCATAATCGTCCTCATGGGCACCTCATAGCAAAATGGCATTTATGGGAAGTTATTTATAAATATCTAAACATCAAGTTCCAGTTTCTGAAATATATACCGGTATTAGAAAAAAATAAATATATCAGAAACTGGAAGGATTTATATAGATTAAACTTAGATCAAAGTTTTATCAATTCTATGGATTAAGAACTGTTTGCTGCAGAGGTACTTACTTGTCCAAAAGCAGGATGTAGAGAAAATAAATACACCAATGCAATGAGATTTACAGCCGAAACAAACATGTTTCCTATGAGCAATCCTGTGATGTGTTGAAAGCCGTCAGCAGAGTAAACCTAGACAGGGAGCAGGAATGTCAGGTGAGGAAAAAGTCCTGAGCAGAAATGCTTCTGCAGCTAAATAGTGTGGAATGCTGGGTTTATTTTACAGCAGCCAATCAGAGAGAAGAGACTTGAAAGAAAAATGCAACCACATTATCCCTTCACATAAGTTGGGGAGCATTTCCTCTCCAAGCAGGCAACTTGAGAACTCATAGGGAGCTGTGCCCTCTGCAGGAACAAGCTCATACTGTACATCTACTCATCTTCTCATTTAAATGGTTTATGCAACAGGTTTCGAAAGACAGTTTATCTTCCTGCATGGGGCTGTTGAATATGTGAATGGGATATAACAGATTCCAGCTAACAATAGGAAAAGAAGTTTTGAAAGAAAATGGCAAATACAAGACAAAAAAAGTAGCTGTAACGTGAAGTGATACTCTCTTCTCTTTGTAATAACTGCAGGGGCTCCACTTCAATCTTTTTAAGAGTTCATGGCACGTTTTTCCAAAATAAGAATTTAGTTTTAAAAAACATATACAGTATCTTGGTTTGTTTTGTTATTTACATTTAGGAACAGAAATGACTCAACTGTGAAGTTTTAAGACAATATTTCATTGTTATTGTAGAGTATAGGTTTAAGCTTCCCAATAGACTGTGATAGTTGTTTGATCCTCTATTCCAATGTGTATCATTCATTTTTGGCAGAATGCAGAAGGCCATTTCAGTTTTCAGCCTTCTGGATGGCTCATCCAGGCTGGGTGACAAATAAAACAAATAAAGCTATTCCGAATCTATTCAGTCAGGTGTTAATGTTTCACATTGAAAATCCTGTGGTTATAAAGTCATGAAAAATAGAAGTCTATCTTAGTCCTGTTTAGAATAACAATAGACATACTAGTAAAATTCTCAGGATCTGGGGTTGTTGTGTTCCTTTCTTATCTGAACAATCGGTAGCCACTGGAAGGCAAGGTGGAACAAAGACTAAGCTGATACCTCCACTCATCTGTGAACCATCAGTTCATTTGGACATGGCTGCCAGTCTTTCCACACCTGAGCATCATCATTTGAGGTAGCTCTAGCCCTTCATGTCTCCCTACGAGTAACTTGTTCAGAGTAGCCTGCTGTCTTGATGTTTTACCCACAGGTTTTATTAAGAAAGTTTTACCTGTTTTAGAGTCTGACTTGATTCAAATCATAAACACATCTCTTATATTGAGTGTTTCCCCCTAGGCCTTAAGAACAGCAATTATAAAACCATAGTTAAAAAGAGAAACTTGTACAAATCCATCTCAAACTTCCCCTTCATCAGTAAGATTATTGAAGACGTTTTGTTTCAACAGATAAAGACCTTCTGAACCATGACCAGCTGCTCTCATGTCTTCCAATCAAGTTTCCTTGCCAACTACTGCCCTGATTAAGGTGTTGAATGTAATCCTTGTAAAAAAGTTCTTTTATCTGGTCATATGGTCATATGTTAACATGTCTCCTTGTGATGTCCTTTAAGGAACCCCCCATTACTTTTTTTAGAAATGTCCCATGATTACTCACTCTCAGATTGCATTAAACAATTTCTTAAAAACAGGCTCATATTGACCACACTTTCTCTCAGAACTTGTCAACCCCTCAGCACCATTTACTGCTGTATACTCACTGCTCCCATATACTTCCAACACTCCATCCTCCCTGCTGCAGCTTTTCGTCTTTTCTGTAGAAGCAAGACCTTTCAATGCATAATTAATTTTATTTCATTAATCTCATTTCCTTGATCTCCTCTCTTACCACAAACTCTCCTGCTCCTTAGTACTGTCATGGTATTGGTTCTGTTTAAGTATATATTTTTTTGAGTTTTCATTAATTTCATTTCCATTTTTTGTTGTTTTCTGCTGGTATTTGTCTTATGTCTTGTTTACCCTCTGTTGCCCCCTTGTGCCAGTCTCCTTTCCCTTGCCCCCTCTAGATTCTTCCATCCACACCTGCTCCTTGTCTGCTGATTTGCATAGTTTTTGTTCAGTCTCCCATATATATACCCTTCTTGTGCAGTTTCTCATTGATGGTTCCTCATCGTTTCTCTGCTCCTGAAGGGGTTTCCCTGACGTATGCTGTTATTTAGTTTTGGACTGTTGCTTAAGTTGTCTGTACTTTTTTTTATTAAATCTGCAAGAAACCACCTAATCTCGGGTACTCTAAAAACCTCCACCCAAAATGAAAAGTGCCTCCTTTCATTCTCCAGATCCACAAAAACCCACTTGGATCAAATTACCATCATTATTTTTTATCTAGTTAATATAGTATTTTGACTTTTTCTGGTCTCCTTAAAGTAATCATACCGGAAGGTTGGATGCCTAAAACCAAATATAATTGAAATGTTTAACGTCGAGGGTAGTACACATCAGTCTAAATTTATAACATCCCTCAGCATCAAGTTAGGGTTGGCCCCATTGCACCACATGTCAAGTCCTATTTTATTACATTTTATGTCAAAAGACCCAAATCAAATTAGTAATTATTTTTTTTATAATACTTTGATCTGTGAAAACTTCTAGTTTATCTCAAAGTTCAATCTATGTGTTGTGAACAGCATCATTCACACTGTACCTCACAAGGCACTTTACAGAGACAAGTCAACCAGACTTTACAGTCCAATTGGTTCAAAGTTTTCCAAGGAAAACCAGCTGATTACATTGACTCATTAACTCATCAGCGATCCCTCACACCCACACCCTTAAAACTCCCTTTTAACAGGAAGAAACCTCCATCAGAACCAGGCTCAGTGTGAGCGTCCATCTGCCGAGGCCGACTGGGGTTCAAGGAGACAGAAGCAGACATCCTGTCTCCTTGAATCTTCTATAAATCGCCTGATCAAGGCAAATGTAAACTCAAGACACTTTACTACACCAGCAGTTCCCATTCAGATCCAGTTGTGCATAACAAAATTAATCTAATCCATTCCTGACTCAATGGCATGAAATCCTCCAATTATAGTTACTATATGTTGCAATATCATTTCATTTTATTACACTAGATGGTATAAGTTTTCTACTTTGAAAGCTTACTTTGTTGCATTTAGTTATTTTCATTGAGAAAAATCCTTGCATCTGATGAAGTGTGTGTGGTGGAAGGAACTAAACTTTTTTAGAAATGTTTTATCATTGTTTAAGTAATCTGTGGGACAAAAACAGGTGCCTGTTTGAAGGTTTAAATGGCTATGACTCCTTTGGTTGCTGGATTTGCCTGCAAAGTAATCCAAATAAGTGGTCTTATAAGATAGAAACTAGAACAGTCTATTACCCCCCAGTGGTTTCACACTGTAAATATCCTAACACATAACAGCAGCAAAGTGCTCACATCATGATGAAAAAAAAACTTGCTTACGTCATTCTGTATCATTTCTTCTAAGATCTCTGCCATATCAGTACTTAATTCAACAGCAATATTTAAGTTACCCACATTCAAAATAATGCTAGAGCAAAGGTTCAGTTCCACTGAAGATAAACATCAGTCTAACAATGTTGACCTAAGATTTCTCTCTGAAGCCTAATCACTCACTGAAAAGCTGTTGAAATGAGAAGTAATCGAGTTTTACTACCAACATCATTTGGAATGGTAAGATTTAGGTCAAGAATTATGATGGAAACTTTACCTAGTTTTTTCTGACAATTAGTTTACTAAAGCACTAAACAAAAAAATTGTCTTTGGCGGGTTCACTTTATTGTACTGTTGACTTCCTTTGATTTTCAGTCTTCTACAACCCTTTTTATACTATAAAATAATATAATAATGGGATAATGATGGGATAATATAGTGTATATAAAAATAATATATACTATATTATCCCAACCATTACTGATTGCTACAAAACCAAAATCTTATCCTATGCAATTCCTACCTTAGTCCTAAACCTAACCGTTTAAAAAAGTAAGTAATGACCAGCACAATTTCCTCACTCTGGTACAATCAATCCTTTATTGGTACAATCAGCAAAATATTCTTTACACTGGAGCCCACTTTACACACACCCCGATCAACATAACCAGAGCCATCTGTAGTGGTGTGCAAAGCGTCTAAAGTGCTCGATGCCCAACTTTTCAAATTGAAATCGTGTTAATTTAAAGATGTTCTTTTATATGACAATGCAAAATGAAAGCCTGTCATTTGGGATTTTAGAAATTCTGGTTTAATTTCATCTTAGATCTGGGTTGAAAACAGTATAATTTATAAGTAAGTTAACTTATTTTAAACAGATTTAATCTGCATGTTATTTATTAACAATATGGTCAACCACAGTTAAAAATGTCAAGTACAAAGTCATACAGAGTTTAGAAATGGTAAAAATGTTAACTCTATTTAAATTTGATCAACGTCATATAGTAAGATGTTCCAATTTCTTAAAAAAACACACTAAATAATATGTTTGTATTGTTGCTCTCCTCAATAACTGTGTATTATGAGTCTACAAGAGTAAATTTTGAGTGGCAGTCTTGTTAAAAATGCTGTCCTCCAGCCACAGACTTAGACAACTCATTTGCATTTTGTTGCTACAGCAACAGGAGCAGAAGCGTAAATGAGACTAAATGAGCATTTGTGTTTCCTTTCTGGGCTTGAGGTGAAGGGGCAATCTCAGATTGTCGCTTAGCACAATAGACTAGCTGGGTCATAACCGGCTAACGTGACAGCTAATATGCAATAGATAGTATGTAGCACCTTTTGTCTGGGTTTGATTTTTTTTTTTCTGTCAACTAAATGTAACATTAAGCAAATCCCTTTTGTAGATAAGCTAGCCTTTTGTTGGAGATAATGATGCCACTAAGGTATGAGTGACCAGTCCAGTTCATATCACTGTCTCACTGTGTAAATGTATTCTTGAATGTTTAGCCTCAAGGTGCATCATATACATTTCTTGTTGTATATAAGGTATCTTACTTATTTTACCGTTGATCTTTAGTTCTGATTTAGTCTAAACACCGTGCAGAGTTTTCTTAATCCTTTTCACTTAACCGGGTGACCAGCCCCCAGTCAGCTGAACAGCTGAAAATACTAATGGTTGCAACCAATCTCTGAACAGGCTTTTTACTTTCTGAATC